AAATATTTTAGTTTCAGAGAAGGCACAAAAGCATTGATGTTTGCTTTACCCAAGAAGAAACCCCAGTGGCACAATTCTCAATAAGAAAATTAAAAATTTTACTCCAAGGGTCATCATGAAGAAAATAACAAATTTAATCCCCTGTCAGTACACTGGTAACAAAAAAATCTTGTGAATAAGAGGTTCATGACTTAAAAAGGACTCAAAAAAAATATCCTTCAATACTACAGCTTGATCAGAATTGCCAAGAGAATGTTCAACAAGAGCCAGGAGAGGAGGTAAGGAACAAATCAAGTGAAAAAGCATTTTGATCAGAATTATTAGGGGAAACAAGTAGGAAAATCACCAATTTGACTGAGAGGCTGAGCAACAGAAAATTGAAAGTTTGAATACTGGCAACATCAGTAACATTAGAATGATTAAGCCATTTGACATAATGTGCATTAAAATCACCAAGCACAAAGATGTTCACAGATGAATATAGAAAGAAAGATCCATTTCTATACTGTCAGTTATTTTATCTAATAGTGCAATAAAGAAAGTCGAAAGCGCATGAAAGAATCATCCAGTGACTCAAGAAATGATTCCTCTTCTATTTGTATATTTTTAATGCATGTATAAATTTTGTTTAAGTTCTTGTTTTTTCTCTAACTTTACAAAAGCTACATGTGCCTGATTAGATCCTCGAAGAAGATGCTGAAAAGGTGTATTGTATATGGGTTTATAAAATTTAGTATTTAAACTGAAGCCTGAAAAGAATAACTAGACTTAATGTTGATGTCTCATCTTCATAGGGCAACTATCAATGGGTTCGACAAAAAACTGATTATGTAAACAAGATTAATTAAAAAATGATTTTTTTTTTTTTTTTTCTTCTTGATCAAAATATACATCTATTCTGCTTTGGCAGTAAGTCATCAATTCTTTTTCTAAAAAAATTTTCGACAAACTAAAATTCATTGCAGACAGTTTCATTTTGTCCCTTTCCTGTAAAGGAATAAGATCTGTTTAACTAAATGATAATCTACAGGTGAAGAAAGGCTTGGGTGGTTAAGGTGCAATAAAGTCTCCATCTTGAATTTCATTATGAGGTCAGAGGCTCTGCAACAAAACCAATTCTTTTCTATTCCCCAAACTGTGTGCTATTTGAATTCTAAATGCATTGGTCTATGTATCTTTGCATATTTTAAAGAAACTCACCATTTATGACTCCTTTGTTCTTTCAACTATTCATTATAATTTGTAAATTTTTGTTGCTACTATGGCTTTTCACCTGCCTCCAGACATTCTGCAGGTTTCTCCTCAAGTTACTACAGAAATTCTTTTGAGCAGCCAATTTATGGTTGGATGTTTTTTTGGGGTTTTTTTTCCCCCCAATTGGGATCCAGCTTTGATGTAAAATTCAATCTGATGGAAACTATTACTTCCTCCTTCATTTCAAACAGAATCTCTTTATAGACACTTTGTCAATTTCCCTTAAAAAATTTCAAATAATTCCAGTCAGTACATTGAGGTTTTCTCTAAATTCTCTGAAGTTTTGATAATTTTCTGATACTTTATTTATTGAGTTTTGCCTGACTTCTGGTTTTCTGAAATGAAATCTCCACTTTCTGAAACCTTTATTCACTAAGATAAAATGCATTAGAATGTTTTTTCCATAATTCTCTGCAAAATATCCAATTAATAAAACAAAACTTTATTAAATAATAAAATAATATTTTTAAAATATCAAAAATATCCAAGTTGGAAATCCAAATGCTTTCTATCTTTTGTGTCTCTCTGGATTTCTCAGTTTGACCTTTGCCCTCTTCTGAAGTTGCTTCACTGAAAGGCAGTTTCATTAGCTTTGGCTTTATATTAACTCTGTCTGCCTTATAATCTGTGATCCAACGAAGAGAGTGAGAAACAGCAGGTGGAAATATTACGACAAATGAAACCTAATTTTTCCATCGCTTAACATTATCTTTCAGGAAAACATTGATTTAGTTTAAGTGATTTTCAAGCACTGAAATCCACTACCTTGATTCAAAGCACTGTGAAAGTTAAATGTTAGAGTGAGGGGAGGGACATTTTGGAACATTTTTGGGAAAACAGAATAGAAAATTAATTTAAGAAAAATGTTTGATAAATGTTTTGAGGTTTTACTTGTATTCTTCAATGTTGATTTTTTTTTTTTTTTTTTTTTAAATCTCTAAATAAATGAGTATAAAACTGTTATGATTCTATGTTATGAGTCTTTGCCCCAACAGAATGGAGTTGTATTGTGTTGATTGGTAATTAAGATGTTCATTCCTAAACATTTTACCAATGGAAACTGATTTTATTGTAATTCTTATCACAAATTGAGGGGCACTTGTAAAAATAAAAAATTCCAACTTTGATTTCCAATTAAATTTCTCAAATTTATTTAAAATTTGTGTTGACATAAGTCTGGGAAAACTAGATTCCAAAATGGTTTCTATTTTTCAAATTTTATATGATTTTTATCGAGCATTGCCAATTATAGAAAAGTTAACATTTCTTAATTGGATTGGACATTGATTTTTTTTTTTTTTTTTAATGCTAGCATTTTACGTCCTTCCTTGTGAAGAATGTTTGTCATTTGTTTATCTTTTCTGTACCAAATACACTCTTCAACCCCCCTGCCTCTGGTAGTAATTATCCTTACCTTTCAAATACTCTTGATTTGAATCCACTTCATCATCTACAGCACATCAAAAATGACATAGGAGTAAAGATGACCTGCAAAATACTCCTGGTTTCACCAGTTAGACCTTTTGGAGATTGTGAAGGTGTTTTTTTTGTTTGTTTTTTTTTGTTTTTGTCATAATTTTATAGGTGAATGGGGGGTGGGACCATTCTTTAAAAATATTTTTCTCTATTATGTGATGATATTTTCTAAACAAGGAAAAACCTTTTGTTTTGTTTTTTATCCTTATTTAATAAGTCTTCTTCAAAATATCCTGACTGACTGAAATGGATTTCCATTCCTAAAATGTCTTTATAATCTCTATCTAGGCAGGGTGTGTGTGTGTGTAATGAATGCACGGCCACAATTTTGCATTTCCCAACTCCCATCAATAGTGGAAATAATCGATTTTTCATGCTTCTACGGCAGTTTTCATGTAGTTTGCGGCCATTTTCTACTGGCCAGAGTGAGAGCCTATAGCTGGCTGCCACGAATAGGCAGGATTGGCCAGCATGAGAGCCAACAGCTGACTGACACAAATGTTAACTAGCATGCTAGCATCCAAAAAAATCGATAGTTGCATTCATCACAAGTGGGAAAAATTTAAATCTGCATGACACTTTACTCCAATTGGCTCATTTGCTTGCTTAAACTCAACGTTGATTCTGATTCCACAGAACTGGGTTGGGTGTGAAAAAGTATTTGTTGTTAACATTCTTTTTTCATTTGGTTTTTCCAGTTACGAGTCCTTTTTTAAAGCTGATTGTTTTGTGTTCATTTTGTTTAGTTCTTTTTTCGTAACAGATTTAATGTTTAGTATAGAGCTTAGAAAAAATTTGCAGTGTGAGATAGGCAAGAAGTAAGGCATGTAGCAACATCAGCACGGCAAAGGGCACTCCTTTAAAGGCAAGGAAGGGCAAAAATATTTTAAGTCAAGTGATAGCAATTGCTGTATGAGTCATATGATTTTTTTAATCAAGCACAGGCAACGCCGGGCCATGCTGCTAGTAATTTGTGAAGTTCAAGATGTTGAGCTTTCATCCTTTTTCGAAATTGACTTCTAAAATTGTTTGAAATAAGCTATTGTTTACAAATCAATCTTTTGATTAGTAATTTTAAATGCTAATCTTTTCAGCTGAAACTTGTAAAAAATAACTTTCAATGAAATTTAGAATTGGCAGGAAGAGTAAATGATGACATTGTTAAGATTAATAATTTTAAATCTTCTCCATTGTTATATTAAATATTTTAAAATAATTACTTAATTCAACAGTTTGATTGAGCTGTCTAATTTTTTAAATCTCTTAGTATCTTTTGAATTATTTTTTTAAACTAAAATTCTAATCTTTAGTCATTAACTTTGCCAGTAATTTCTTTTTCATAATTTTTCAGGTTATTTTTTTAGATTTACTGCAATTCAATGTCATATAATTGTTCTTAACAAATGTAAATATATTTGGCTTTCAGTGATTATAAAATTTCAACTAGAAATCAACTTGGAAATCATTTTGGTGCCGAAACAACACTTTTAGAATTAACCAGCATCAATACATTTTCCTTTTTTCTTTTTTCTTTTTTTTTTTTTTTTAAGGAATGTAGCCAGTTTCTTATCAAATAATTTCTTTCTTTGTCTCTTGGGTATTAAAAAGACAAGTTTCCTTGCTTCTGAATCTAACCAGGAATATTCAAAAAAAGCTACGTTAACTTTTTAGCCCAAGTCTTTAAAAAATAACAATTGAAAGGAAGCATTTACATTTGGACTATTGTCCTTATCTTTTTTCTTTTTTTTTTTTTAAGTTGTTATCCCAATGTTTTGGCTGCTGTGCCCTCTGGCCTTCATCAGATGTGTATGTCAATAATCTACAGGGAATTTCAAACTGAATCCTTTATTCAATCTACAGGGTTAGTTTGTTCCCATTCCATTGCCCACTTCTAGGGTTATATTGAGTTTAGTTCTTAGTTTTATTACTGATCCATTATTGTTTGTCCTGGCTTCAGTGAAAAGTGGTTCAATTTGAAATTCCCTGTAGGTTACCAAGGATCAACATACACCTGATGAAGAGCACAGTTGTCGGAACAGTGTGATAACAATGAAGATAAGGACAATAGTCCACATGTAAATAATGATATCTCCTCATCCCAGAAATTCAGACAGAAAGAAGGAAGCTTTTCATTGAATTTGATTCCAATATTAGATTTTTTTCACTATTTGGTTCAAACATTGAAATTGTGTTTTCATTAAAGTGCCCTTTTCTATTTCATATTATCGGTTGACATTTTCTACATCTCTCATTTTCTCCTCCTCTTGCAGTCTGTGCTGAATCTTATGACCCTGAACAAGATGAAGGAGATGATAAGAAAGTAAGTATAAAATATTTGATACTTTTCATGATCAAATGAGATTTCTCTGCTATACAAAACCTTTTCATCCAGATGATTTCTCATTTTTCTCACATCAGTTTATGTCAATTTGGCAGTTGGTAACACCCCTTCACTTCTTATTGGCTTTCTCCTTTTTGTAAAGTAAAAATAGTTTGCCCACATTTGTTTTGCACTATTCCAGTCTAACTAAATTTGATTCCAATGAATTTTTGCCCAAGAATCATTATAGAAAAATTGTTGAATTTATAATTTCAAAGCTGGGATGAAAATCTCAAAAAAAAAAAAATCTTCCACTAACTTTACTTTGACTTCTTCAAGTCAAAAATTGGCCTAATTTCAAAGCTTTTTCACGAGTGATTTGTGGCACTTTCAAATACTTTAATGTAGAGACCTCCATAAAAAAACGTGATACCTGAGGTTTAAAATGAATTTTTAAAAATTAAAAATCTTTCTTGAAGCTTTTATTTTAGCTTTAATTTCAAGCTAATACATTAAATTTAATATTTACAATAATTGAAATACTTTGCTGTATTTCAAAAACTAATTTAAATAAACCAGAAAGAGTTTATTTTTCTCTAAAATAGCTGATCAGCACTTAGCAACCCCCCCCCTTTTTTTTTTTTTTGACATCTTTCTTCACAATGTAATTCTCTTTTAAAAAAAATCTTCCAAAAGTAAAATGTACTTTTCTGAAACTTTATTTGAGAAATATTAGCTGATTTAAAGTATAATTAATCTGGTTTGAAACCACTGTTATTTACTTTAAGTTTAAAATATAACAGAAATACATTTTTTTAATCTGACAGTAGCTTTGTTGACAACCTGATGATAGTTCTACAGACTTTATCTGAAAAACATAATTTAAAAAAAAAAAATATGTGAGAGCCTTTTTTTATATCACTTTTAAATATTCAATAATCTTAAAAATTTAGGAAAATATTCTCTGTAATCTAATGTTTTATTGGATTTTAGAAATGTTCACTTTCAATTTACTATAGTTATTGCTCTCATTTTCTGACAATCTCTTGGTCGCCCATACTTACAAAAATCAACACATTTATAGACAAAAAGAAATTTCAAAATTCTTTAAAAATATTAGTGTTTTGATGATTTGTATTAAGCTTTTCCATTTATGAATAGTAAATATAGTAAAGCTGAAATTAATATTTAAAACTTAATAAATTTTTCTAATTAAAATTTTAAAAAAAACAAAGACAATTCTTGTAAAAAAAAAAAAAAAAAAAACATTCATTATTCATTGCAATTTTTTTTTTCTTAAGACAATAGTGTGTTTAAAATCTTTTCTACTCAATGTCATTTTTTTTTTTTTTTTTTTATGACTTGGAGCAGATTTTCTGTAAATGACGTTTCTCTTTGACAAAAACATATTGATTTAAATTCTCAAAGAATTCCTGCTTTTAACTAATATAAATATGAAGACCCTTTAATTTTAATTTCTGAAAATTAAGTCTGGGTAACAGATGTTAAAAACAAAATTTTTAGATAAGATTTTTTTTTTACCAAGATTTGAAAAAAAAAGAAAATTTAAATAATTTCAATTTCATTATAATCTGACAATAACTTGATTTTTTGCAAGAATTTCCTAAAAAAAAAAAACGTTATTTTAATACCCAAAAAGACACTAACATTTCTGTTGTGTCGGAAACCTACCAACCCTCTTGAAGATGAACTTGTCTGCGAACAAAGACTTTAATTAGAGGAGACAGAAGTTCTTAGCTGAGCTAGTTATTGACTACTCAGGTGATTTCTATACCTTTTTTACCAACCTATTAAAACCCTTTTTATTGTTACGTGTTATTTGGCGTTTGTCTCTACTAACCCCAAATCAACATCATAACAATTTCCAATACTAATCTTTGGCCCACCCACTGACTCAAGACAAACAAAATTTAATAAAAAAAATACTTTGTTCTTTCCTCTTAATAATAACAAACATTTTGATGATAAAAAATTGTTATTTATCAAGTTTGGGGCCTTTTTTCATCATGGTATTCTCCCTTTTTTTCTTTTTTTTTGTTAGGAAATTTTTGGAAGTACCTACTGTAATGCAATACAATTTTTCTACTTGTTAAAAATTAAATTTTTTTTTTTTTCCCTAATAACTACCTGGATATTTGCTATTTCTTCTACTCATATAAACTATCTCAGAAAATAAGCATTTAAGCATAATTTGTCTTTTAACCCCCTACAGACTTTTGAAGTTCTGTATGAGGGAAAGGAAAACAACACTGGCTAGAATATATTGACCCATTAAAATCAGTAATTGATGTAGATTAAGATCTATATTGCCTTCAGCATATATATATATATATATATATATATAGCATCATATAAACCATACATGTGAGAAACGTAATCAAACTTTATATATATATATATATATATATATATATATACTTTTTTAATGAAAAATGATATTGCTTTACATCCAAGGTCAGCAATCATTTTGTATTTGCAAATCAGATCACATATTAATGAGCAGATGTTTGGCTGGATAAATGCAATAAACTAAAAAAATGCTTAAAATATAAAAACTGTGCATTTAAATGCACATCTAGTTGGCATCAGATCAAAACAGTAGTAAGATGCTGTGAATAATCAGTATAGAGTTTCCTTGTTCTAAAGGCAAAATCATTTGTCGGCTGATTAAGCTTCTTATCCCACTATATTTTCTTGTTACTACTACTCTCTGGTTTGCCTGACACTCTCTAACAACTGTTGACATTGTTGCTAGGGATGACTTGATCATTGTAGCAAAACCAGAATGGTCTTCATAGCATGAGATGAGACTGAACAGCCTGAAATATTTTGACATAGGGTTTATTGCTTCCATTATTGTCTAGAATTAGTATATCAGAAATCATCTGGTTTTTGCCAAAAATCGAGGGTCAGTGAAATTGATTGATGTTAATGATTTAAAAACAAAAGAAGAAAGTTTATTTCCTTTTTAAGTTACCTTTTTAATTTGCTTCATTTTCCATTATTTGTTGTAGACGAAACTGTCTCGTTTTTGCTATGCCTAATCTCTTTGAGCTTTCACCTTTTCATGACATTGAATTTCCTAGTGAAAGTCATGCCATCAAAATGTCAATCATGTTCTATGAAATAGCAAAATCAATACGCTTATGTCTCTCGATATTCTTTCTCAGGTTCCCTTCACAAAAGCTGTTGCACAAAGATCAAATTTCACTCTCTCTCTCTCACACACACTCACACAAAACTTCCTATTTTCATCCCCTGAAATCTGATTATACTTTTGCTGACTCTTTTTTTTTTTTTTTTTTTTTTTTTTTTTTCTTTTTTTTCCCCTTCATAATCTTCATTTTTTTTTATTTATTTTTTTTTTACCAAATTGTCAAATCTGAAATATTTATGAAAACTCAAAGAATTCGAAACAGATTGTATTCAAAGTAATCATTCTAGAATCCAGGCCAGTGTAATAGTACTTGTTAGAAATTAACATCAATTCTTGGTTTAGAAGAACTGAAAAATGAGAATTTTAATGTCGTCATTAGTTTGATAATTTTCCTCTTTTCAAAATTTGCTCAGGTACACATTACAAATACTAACTGGCCAAATTTGAATCTTGACGACCTTTTTGCTTTACTGACATCCTTTTATATTGAATGTGTTTCCAGGATGGCTTTTAACTTTATTTGGCTACATTAGACAGCACCCATCATTCCCCCACCCCAAATTTGCTTACATTTCATGCTTAGTGACATATTTTAGCTTTATATATATATATATATATATATATATATATATATATAATATGGAGACTTTAATTATTATTATAACGTTCTGTAGTCTACATTGAGCTCTCCCTGGATTTATATCCTCCTCAGAATTATCCCTTCCAGTCACAAACTGGTAAAAAATATATATGTGTGTGTGTGTATATATATATATATATATATATATATATATATATGAAAAAAGTTTGTGGTTAATTTCTGCTCTAATTCTTGATTTGTTATAATATTTTAAATGTTTTGATCTTGACAACCATTATTGAATAGTAAGTCAGTCTTGTAACTTGATACATGTCTGATTTCATTTGAGATTTCTTTAAAATCTTTTCACACAAGTGCCTGAGTATAATTGGTGCCACAACAAAGTAAACGCCAAATAAGATTACACAAGTTGGAATGCAATTTGTATATGCAGATGTTTCCCATTCACATTGCATGGTTGCAGATTTTAGTGTCAGGCATGTGACAGTTTAAATTTCATTCTCTTTCCCAAAGACCCCCCACCCCAAATAAAGATTTTTAAAGGACTGAAACCTGAGACTATTCCATGTGTCTGCACAGTGTTGACTTTCATAAATCTTTACAGTAAATCTTGAGAAATCCTTTCACCATAAACAATAAGCATTTGTTTTTTAGTTGAAAAGATCTCTTTGCCTTTATTGACTATTTCTCTACTGCAAGAAACTTTTTATAAAAATCTCAAAAAGAACAATCATCCCAGTCTTGTCTGGAGATTTTTATATATTTTGATTGAATTCTGAAGAAACAATTAACTTGCAAGTATCTAAATAATTTAAAATCACCGTTACTTTTCTCTTCCAATGTCTCTACTCATCATTGACATCTCTACTGACTTCTTTGAGGCCATATCTTCTGCTTATCAGTTGCAGTAAAAGCCATCTGCTATTGAAGGACATTTAATTCATCACTCCATCAACCAATAAAAAAAAAAAATGTACACCTAACTTTGTTTTTGCTACTCACTTTGTAAAACTTTGTATATTTTTTTTTCCTTGGTAGATTCAACCACTTACATTTTGGACATGAAATAGACAATTACTTTTTAAAATGCTTTGTTTTTTTATTTTAAAATACTTTAAGATCTTTTTTATAAAAACTACATTACTTACCAATATTTGTAATATGGTTGTCTTTACTACTATTATTTTAGAATTGTTTGTATCTATCTCATGTTTGGATACGTGTTTGATACTAATCAAGATAAAAATATGACTTCCTAAAACCTCAACCCACACCATAAACTATTTGTAAAAGAACCACTTGTTCTAAAGCTATCCTCTTTTATCTTTTATCTTCATTTGGTTCCCAAAATGTCAATAGTTTGGTGGTTAAATCTTAGCCACAAAACTATTTGGTCAATATTGCTCAGGTCTTGTCACTTGATAAACTGGTAGCCTCTTGAAACTTACACATATTTGAGAAGGAGAAGGAAATTGACTTTTTCAGCCTATTTTGTCTGGGGAAATAGTCACAGAATGTTTACTCTGTTTTGGTTTTAATGAATTCTCTTAAAACTTTGCAGTTTTCACTTGCTTTCCTCTACTGCAAGCTTCATTATTCTTTCCCTTTGCAGATCAGAATCATCATCATCATTATCATCATCATCATGTCATCATGTCATCAATGCAGACAAAAATCTATTCAACTTCATTTCTTTTCACCATCCAAATATTTCTATATCAAATTTTTCATTTGAAATGTTTGGTACACTTCTTAATAAAGAGGTGAAGAACTTGTAAATTCACTAGAAAAAAGTTTTCCATTAAAATTAAGTTTATTTAAAAAATAAAATAAATATTCATTTCCATTTATATGTGTGTAGTTTAATTAAAAATCCAGATAATCTCTCTTTTAATTAAATATCTTTCTTGTCAATGTACAAGGTAATCCCAGTGACTAAATTTTGTGAAGCTAAAATCTTTTTTTGTTTTTGTTCTGACACTAAATCTTAACATTGTTTCCTTTTGTAATTTGATCAGATCAATTGAACTATAATTTCTAATTGATTTTATTTAGATTTTGTCAGTTTTCAATTTGACTCTAATCTTTCTAAAATACACAAACATTTATATTCTCAGATTAAATCTTCATAGCAAAGACTCTAACCTTTTGCATGTGAAAGGTCATGGGATTCCTTTAATGTGATAAATAAGTTCTCTACTAAAATGAAGATTATTTTCAGGGAAGTAACTTTCCTTCTCTTTTAATTGTCAGAACTTGATCTGAATTTGAGTATAACATTAAAACAGTAGCAGTTTTCTCTACACTTTATAAAAGATGTTAAACATTGACACTTTAATAACAGCTGACTTCATGAGGAACAATCATAAATGGGGGGGGGTCAGATATTGGCTTTGTACTTTGACCTCAGTAGATATAATGGCTGAAGTATGCTAACCTGTTTTGGATTGGATCTGTTCACACTCTATGAGTGAATATATAATCTGACTCATTCACAATGTCAAATTTTAAAATGTTGCTGACTTTTAGTGTTAAGCTAAAAAAAAAAAATACCATGATTTTCTATTGATTATTTCTTTTGTTTTATTTAAAAGAATATTCTCTTCTTGTTGGCAAAAGTACAAATTTAGATTTGAAAAAGGTATTTATGATCAGTTCAAATTGTATCACTTTTGAATTCAATCCTTTGCAATAGAGATAAATCTCTTGAAAAAGCTTGAATCCAACTTTCCCCTGTTTCATTATCTGTTATCTTGATCATCATACTGGCATACCATGTTGATAGATAAGGAAGAGTGGACAAGTGAATAGATAGACAATCTGCTTACCCATAATTACTTCCATTGCTCTGGTAGTTCTGTTCTATCCTTTGTTATCCCTGACAGATAAATATTTTTGCATATATTAATGCAAGACAAATAACAAAAGAAATATTGTATGCCAGTTTCTTCCACAGCAGTTAGAACTTTCTGGTTTTAGTTTAGCAATGAATTTTCCTTTTGACAAACATTGTTTGTATCAAATATTGAAAAAAAATTTGACGTTTGACTCTTCACTGGAAATTTTCAAACTAATTGTAGTACTCTGGTGAATAGTTTGAATTAAAAAAAAAAAAAAAAGGTTTTCTTACATACACACCAAAAAAGGGTTGTCGATCTTTTGCCAGGGTGAATTTCTTGCTCTCTTCACTGACATTCATCTTTCCTAACTCTGCTATGTGTTGTTGAAGGTCAAAATTCTCTCCATGTCATTACTATTCTTTCTTGAGCAATGAATTTTCTTTTCTGAAATTTAACCAAATTGCAAGGTTTTATTTTGCCCAAAGCCTTTACAAAAGCAAACATTCTTTCATGCATACTAAAATAACAGATGACAAAACTATTTAATATGGCAAATCCTTTTGTTTTTCTTTTTTCCATTGTGCTTTTTTTCATATTCCCTGGTTTTCGTTAGGCGAGGCTTTTAAAAAATTCTGTTAAGATGGTAAAAACAATTTCTTAGTTTTGTCTTCCTAAATATTATTATCCAAATCAAAAGTCTCAAGAACTTCCTAAAACAGGCTCATTTCACAATGAATTTAAACATCTATATTGAAACTTATTCTTTTTAATGTTAACACACTCATTTTCTTCTCCCTAAAGAGAACTTGTTTATAACACACAAAAATTTTGAAAACTGATGTCACACTAACATGAAAAAAAAAAAAAATTGACATTTTTATTTTCTTCCTTGTGTAAAAGAACAATTATATTTTTTGTTGCATATTAACAACTTGCAAACTAATCTTAACAATGGTTTATCTAACTGCCTTGCTTTGTTTTGTTTCTACTAACACCTTTGCTGTACACATTTTAGTCTTTTAGATAGAATTATCGGGTTTTTTTTTCCCCGCTACTGTTGCAGGTGGTATACCCGAAAAGTGATGACCAAAGGAAACGCCTCCACGAGGCAACAAAGAACATCCTATTGTTCAGAAGTTTGGAGCCAGTAAGTATCAAGATTTTATTTTCTCTTCTATTTGCCATTTCCATCTGAAGTAATTTCAAAAATCCAACAAAAGTCATCAAATTGTTTTTCCTTCTTGATTTTACTTGGGATTTTCATCAAACATCCATTTTGTTTGACACTGGCTAAGATCACAGAATGTAACTCATTTCATGCAAGTTCAACAGGATTTTTTTCATATGATTGGTACAAGTAGATTCCCACTACGACCAAAAGTTGGTCTTTTTTTTTTTTTTTTTTTTTTTTTTTTTTTTATGATAAGATTTGAATTTCTTATTTATTTTCATGCTCTCTTGTATTCTTTACAGAATTTTTTTTTTTTTTTTCTAATGAAAATCATGAACTTGTGTTTGGGCTACTTTTTTTCTTTTCAAAGACTTGACTACTGTATAGTTTTATCTCCCCAAAGAGATTGCTCACATTCCGAACCATAATTTATTCACAAATAAATATGTACCTTGAAGAATGTCAAAAAAAATATGAATCAACCAAATTCAATTTAAAAACAAAATTAGAGACCAGTCTGAATACTTTGTCAAGTTTTGGATTAAAACCAATGATTATTGCTTTTATTTCAACATCAGATTGCAAGTCACCTGCAACAAAAAAAAAAAAAAGTACCTCAATTCCCTCCTCTCCTCATTCTGTACTCTAATTCATCATATTTTCCATTTCATATTTCACCCTATCTTAGATTTTCATTTACTTATTTTTTTTTATTTTTTTAATTTGCAGGAATTTAGTTTTCAATGTTGCGCACTTTTTTCTGTTTATTTTCTTAGAATGATAAATACATATTTTCAGTTTACTATCAGCATTTGGTTAGTTCTTTTAGCTTGAAATAATAAAAAATGAAAAATAAAAAAAATGTTGAAGCATTGCCGTAATAATAAATCTGTGTTTTCTGATTTACAGGAAAGATTGCAAAATGTAGTTGACGCTATGTTTGAAAAACGGGTAAGTTTGAACTTCTCAACTTGCAAAATTTTATAAAATTATAAATCTGTAATTAAATGTTCAAAATAATATTAAAATAATGTTTGTAACTTTAATCTGAATATTGTAAACAAAAGAATGGTCTTTGCCTGCACACTTATATTTTTGTAGAGTATGGGATAGCACTTCAGCTAATAAATTGCTTCTTTGTGAAATATTGAATAAAGATTGAATTTCTGTTGTTGATTGCAGGTTGAACAAGGTGAAAAGGTTATTATTCAAGGAGATGACGGAGATAACTTTTATGTAATTGACAGGTTTGTATGTTTTGCACCTTTCTATGACCTTGTCACTACTGACAGCTTTTATTTGTATCTAAATGTCTGCTTCTCTTGCTTTTAGGAACCAAAAGAGGTTTTGTCAATATTCCTTTCTTTAATACCAACATTCTGCCAGGTAGCAATCTATCTTGCATACTGTGTGTGTGTGTGTGTGTGTGTCTCATTGGTCTGAGAAGCTAAAGGTGGAAAATGCAAAATGAAATTTATTTTTTTATTTTTTTTTTTTTTTCCTCCCGTTGTTCAATGCAACAAAGTATTCCCTTATCCCTATCCTTCCATTGTTAATATTTAACAGCCAACCCACAAGAGTGTATATGGCACAAGGCTGATTTATTGTGGGTACTCCGAGCCCATATGCTTGGCCAAAAATATTCCCTTTGAACCCACCTAAACAGGTTCATGGACTGTCTACCTCCCCGGACGAAATAAGGCAGAGAGTTTGACAGCAATGAACAGTTTGGTCGACCATTCCCTGGTTTTAGCCCCCAAAACACTGGATTTTTTTTTTTTTTTCATCCAAGCAAATAATGAAGGGAAAATGATAATTCATCAAACCAATATGATACAATTTATTGAAATATATCAAGATGAACTATAAATAATTTTCAGTTTTGCTTATCCACTTTATTCTTTAAAAAAAATAAATACAATTAGATTTTATTCTATTCACTATTTTTGATGACTTCTTATCAGGTGACATTTTTTTGAGTAAAATTCTGCAAGTATTAATGTGGAAAATTTTTTGACAAACTCCTGAATCTGGTATCATTAGAGAAAGTATCTCCTATCAAAACGTTTTGCAGTGATCGAAAAAGGTGATAATTGGTTTGAGTAAAGGTCAGGTGAACATGTTAGGCTGGGAATAGAACGTGCTGAGTTTAAAAATGTTTTCCTCTGTTATTCTTGCTGAATGCAGCCTTGTTGCAGATGCTGGATGTATAAATGTGCATTTAGTATCTCATTTCAGTTTAAGAACTCTAAATGTCTCCCTGACAATCTCATCACATCTTTCTTCCATGGTGACAATAAACTGCATTCAGCAGCAAGGTCTCTGATTGGGAGGTTTTGAGAAGTGTGGAACCACCTCTAAATTGCTGTTGTGCCTAAGTCCATTCTTGACCCAGGGTGGTAGCATCAATTAGGTTCGCAGCTATGGTCAAATAGTGAATCCACAAACAAAACAATATGGAAGTATAAAAATCTAATTTTATAGAAAAAATACCAGTAATACATTTTTATATACAAACACTGACATACCCAGTAATTCCCAGGAAAGCGGATGTTATCCTCGGGTCCCGTTCTCTCATCCTTTCTTCAATCATCTGAAAGTAACAATTCAAATTAAGTAGCACTGAAAAGGGCTTCTTGTGCATTCAGAGAATACCCAACCACCACCCTTTTATGATTTTTGAAGGAAATACTAATAAGTTATGAATACCACAAGCAAATTGGTTATCCAAACTATGTCTTTGCAGATCTGTGGATGATGTAGGACATCTGACAGTGTGCAGCTGAAGACAGCATTTTCTTTCTAGCCCTCAACTTGTGCTCCTTGCTTGCACCTGCTCTATCTATCGTGTGCCCAGGTGTAGTAGATTGGAATCTCAACATACATCCGTATTCAGGCAAACGGGTCACTTTGACAGCTTTCTTCAAATTATATTAAAGTGGTTTCTGGTGTATTCTCAACTATATTTCGAGTAGTATCATCTGTAAAATATACATGCTGTCCATTTTCAAGATGAACAGCTAGATTCACCACTGGTTGGATGCTGCTCATGGATTTCAAGGCCCAGGATGTACTATATTGCCTCATTAGAGGGAATATATCTGCCCAACTGATATTACATAATTCCATCCACCTGCCTGCCCTCCTGTTCAACTCCCCAAAACTACCATATCTGAGCCCTTATATTTACATACATACTTGATGTTCTTTATAGATTTGCATGACTCAACATTCACATGTGCCTTGAATATTTTAGACAGCAGTGGGTTGTAGGACACAACCCACTTAATTGTTTCTTTCCATCTCTTGACCATTTACTTTGAGCTTAGTTGTGTTTTCACCATCATCATCTGGTTTTCAGCATCTGTAGAGTTAGGGTAACTTGTTATGTCCCATGTGTGTATCCTGGATAAATTCCCTGGGGAACCTTTTGATGTGCACTTATTGTGCTCCTTGCAGGTTAGGGTTGAGAATGCCGCAGGGGCTGTGAATCATCTGTGTCTTGCTCTGGGTTGTGCAATTCTGCACAAATGATTTCATCAATGTTCTGGTCTAATCCAAGTATATGAGAGTGAGAGAGGTCTCATTTTTGACATTCTATGGTGTACATTTAGGCATTAAGATCACCAAATATTTTTCAATCTTTTAGTAACCACAGCAGCAGCTTCTGCTTTTGATGAAAAACTCTTGCAATAAGATCATATGCTTGTCAGGGATCCTATGGCCTTCAAGGAGGTAGTCTAGAATTTCCTTCTACCTTTGGATTACAGGTGAACATTATAAATAGGTCAGGCTGCCCAATCTTAGGCCATGGCATCTTGGATGTGTTGATACATGTAATATGGTGAACCAATTGCCGTTGTGATTCATTGCATCCTGCAGGTACATATATTATACTGAAAGCATTTTTTTCTGGTTACTGCAAATGTAAAGCAAGCGCTCAGCTTCAATCTTTGCATACATGTCCACCATGAACTGGCTTGTCATCTCCTTGAACTGAAGAAGCTGGTTAAATTCAGACCATTAGACAGTAGGCATAAAAATCCTTGTAGGAAACACTTTTGTTAGTCTCCTGTCCAGTTACTGGGTCAATCTGGCACAGATAAAAATTATAATCGTCTTTTCCATGTGGAAAAATCAAAGGATAATTCAAGCAATCATATGTGACCTGTGTGTCTTCTTAATGAGTGATAAGTGGTTGTCATGGTGCTTCAGGACGATGTCACTTTTGACATGCCCTTCTCCAACCAGAATGATTGTCACCTCATTGATTGCAGGTGCATAGAAATGCCAGGCATATTTGCCAGCTGGCCGCCTGTCAGCTTTGATAATCACTTTAAGATCTGGCATCACCTCCATCCATTCCTTTGCTATTATCTTTCTGTTGATACCTTGGTTGAGTCCGCAGCACTAGTCGATTTGCTCATTGCCACCGCTAATGAAAAACACCTGGACATACTTTGGCTCTTCATCTGGTTGTGGCCTTAAGCTGCCCAAATGGTGGTAGCACAGCCCCTGGATCCTATAGGCAGTGAAGAAACCTCAGTCCCTTAGGTCTCTGTCTGTTCCAAAGGATGTCATCATAAATGATTCATTGTACTTCCAGATTGTACCACAAAAGTGCTTGGCCTTCAGGGTGTCCTCTGTAAGCAGCTGCATCAATACATCTAGTGGAGTTTGCAATGCAGTTAGTCTCCCCTTTGCTTTTGAGCAGCACATAACTGTTGCCTCAACTCTCCAATTAATAGCCCTGCAGCATTTTCAAACTTTTTCCCATTCTGCCAATGGAGATGTTCTGGTTCCTGCCATAATCCTTAGTGAAGTCATAGCCAAAGGCAGCTTTGAGCCAGATTTTCTTCCTATCTGCATTGGCTGCTGCTTACGAAGTCCTGTCAAGTCTCTGTCTTAGCCATCTTGCGGATGAGTCCTCAATTTCTCCCTTGAGTCAGTGTGACTCTCTTTCTGCAGCAAGGTGAGCTTCTCTCTGTGTTGCCGTTTCTGCTTGCCTTGCTCTCTCTCCAGGTATACTCTCTGTGCAGTAAGACAAGCTTCTCTCTCTCTCTCTCACTCTCTGAGCTGTTCTATTTGCAGTCAGGCAAGCTTCTGTCTCTGTAGCTTTCTCCTAAGTATAAAAAAAAAGATCAATCATTTTACTTGTGAGTAACAACCACCTATTATCCATTTAAATTTGAGGGGGCAATATGCGATGAGAAACCTGGGGAAAGTGTGTGATTGACTAATATGGTTTATATAGATAGTGGGAGACAACATTTTATACCTGTGAATGCCTTTGCCACAGTTTTGTTCTTGAATTGTAACTATATTCTTTACATTTCTTTGTCTGGACCCCTTCTAGGGGCCCTAGCAGTCCAATTATAGATTTTTATTAAAAAACAAAAAACAGTTAGCCTAGTAACAAACTGCATGTTAGTTTAACATGTATGCAAAGTTTCATCAATATTGGTTCATGGGTTTAGGCAGCAACTTGATTCAGACAGACAGAAATTGCCATTTTTATATATATATATATATATATATATATATAGAGCAATACATATTTATAGAAAAATGACCAACACTGCATTTTAGCTGTAGTTGAAGTCATACAATTCAACGAACATGAAAGAACACTTTCATGACATTAATCCATATAATATCCTTTAATTTCTTAAATCAAACTGTATTCCAAAATATGCACAAAAGCTGAGTATCATCTGCCATGTTTTCAATTACGTAAGCAGAATAACATTTATTCTCAAGAAAATTAAATTTCTGCATTAAATGACCTGCAAGTTGATGTTAATGAAATAAAAAAATTCTTCCATGAAGTTCATCTTTTAGATTTTGCAGTCATTTGTGGAGATTATCTTTGTCAATCTACTGCTGCCTTTTGCATTAAACATTGTTGCATGTGACCATTTTCCATCAGCTATTATGATATATTTAAAGAATGGTTAGTTAAGACGATACATTCATCATTACAACTGGTTCCCAAAATCAAAAATTGCTTATGAGTCAATGCATCCAATAGAATAATAGAAATTGGTAAATGCATCAAAGAATATTGACTGCATAATTCATAACAAAAACCCTTCCGTTTTAATTTGGAATTTTAAAAGATTTCCATCGTCTTGTCTCTTTGCAGTGGGCAGTATGACGTTTATGTTGAAGTGGATGGTCGACACAAAAAAGTCGGAGAGTACGATGGTCAGGGATTTTTTGGTGAATTAGCACTTATGTATAATGTTCCTCGAGCAGCAACTGTCGTCTGCTCTTCTCCTGGATGTGTCTGGGCCTTAGTAAGTTTCCATCGTCGGTAGTTTTACAATCACTTCAACTATTTCATGTCTTGAATTCATTTTTTAATTATTCATGATATTAAAATACAGAACTCATTGTTTTTGTTTGTTTTTTCTCAATTGTATTAAGATACTTAATTTCTTTATCTTTATTGAAATCCATAACTGAAAATCATTCTTTTGATATTTATAGTAATTTCTTTACTTTCTGAAATATATTTTCTTTATCTGTCACGTATTGAGATGTTTTTGCAGCTTCAGAATTAGATATTAGAAAATATTTACAACTTTATATTTCCATGCAGTTTACACTCAGACAATTGCTTGTCTGATGGTGAAATGTAATGTCAAACTAAATTTGAATTTTTATTTTTTAACAATTCTCAGATATTTTGTTTGAACTTTTTTCTTTATAAATTGAATTAAAGGTTAGCTTTCCTCAATCTTTGTTGGCCTTGGAAATCTTTTGTTATAAAACGCGTTAATTAATACAGAAACGGCCAAGAATGTAATGTGCAAAAAGTTTTAAAGAATAAGCCGTGTGGTTTTAATATTTGTTTCTCCTTTTAGGATCGAGTTACATTTCGGAAAATAGTTCTTAAAGATGCATTCAACAGAAGGAAGATGTACACAGATTTAATAGAGAGTGTCCCTTTATTTTCAAGTCTTGATGTAAGTACAAAAAGAGGAGACAGATAATGCATTTTGATTAAAATATTTGTGGTTTTGAGGGGGCAGGACGTCTCTCCTATTTATTTATATAATTGTGTCTGCTTTTGATATATCTACTATTTTATTTATTTTAAAGATTTTTTTTTTATTCATTGTAAGTACACAGTAAATTGGCTAAACTTGATACATGACTCTAAATTGTGAAATGCCTTCAAGTGAGTTGTTTTGACCTTTGACATCATTCCATTTAACCTTACACTTGACATTATTATGATAATATCAACAGCAACATTAATGAATCCCAATGCTTATCTTCTTACAAGAATTGTCTTTTATTTTAGGATTTACTTAGAATATAGATCATATTTAGGAGAGTTCTTCCAAAGTGATTATTTTAAATCACTAATTGAAAACATTTTGTACTGTCTTTTAGTTAATTGAATCGGGTTTTTTTTTTTTTTTTTTACATTTTACAGAATTATGAAAAAATGAATGTGGCTGATGCTTTACAATCTCGAACTTATGCAGATGGAGAAGTTGTATTGAATCAGGTAAATATAATTTAAATATGAGTGACTTTAAAAAATCAGCAACACAGGTGTAGACAGTAGGTTTCCCCCCCCCCTTACCTCGCTTGCTTGGTATAGAAGGAAAAGAGTAAAACTCCTCAATTCTCTTATGGTCGTTTAGGATTTTATATAGACAACATTCTTTTTTGTCATTAAAATATCTAAATATGGAGAAAGAAACCTGATCCAAATGTTGCCTTTCTATATATCCATCCCAGAATCATCTTGTGAATGTATATATCCATTTATTAGTACAACATATTTTTTATATTCAGGTTGATAAATGAAATAAAATACTGTTTAAAAATAAACTGAGCATCTACTCAAATATGGTTTGTGCAAACCACTGCCCTGTGAAACTGACTCCTAATCTTAACCTGTTCAAGTCTAGGTTTAACTGCTATCTTTCCCTCCTATCTACATAAACTGCCTCATTGTAACCCTTTATCTCACCTTGAGTAGCCCCTGGACCATGTTTAAAAAAAAAAAAAAAAAAAGTAAAATATCTTCACCTCATTCTTGACACTGATCTCAGTTTCGCTTGACCTTTTTTTTCTTTTTTTTTTTTTTTTTTAGACAACTTTCATGTCGTTCAAATCTTTTTACTATTTTCAGTCCTTTAGATAATTTTTCTTCAGTGAAGTTGTTTTTTTAATTTTTTTTATAAACTTTTTTTTTTATAAACTTCTTTTTTTTATAAACTTCTTTTTTTTATAAACTTCTTTTTTTTATAAACTTCTTTTTTTTAAACTTTTTTTTATAAACTTCTTTTTTTTATAAACTTCTTTTTATAAAAACTTTTATAAACTTTTTTTTTTTTATAAACTTCTTTTTTTTTATAAACTTCTTTTTTTGCCTAAACTTTTTTTTAAAACTTTTTTTTTATAAACTTTTTTTTTTTTTTTTTTTATAAACTTCTTTTTTATAAACTTCTTTTTTTTATAAACTTCTTTTTTTTATAAACTTCTTTTTTTTATAAACTTCTTTTTTTTATAAACTTCTTTTTTTTATAAACTTCTTTTTTTTATAAACTTCTTTTTTTTATAAACTTCTTTTTTTTTTTAAACTTCTTTTTTTTTATAAACTTCTTTTTTTTTATAAACTTTTTATATATATATATATATATGTAAGTTGCAGTTAATTATAATAAAAGGTAACTTTCTTTTCCTTACTTTTTGAATTGATTAAGACTGTTACATTTAATTTTTAATTAGAAATGATTTTTTTTTTTTTTTTTTGTGTGTGTGCATTGCTGCTTTTTTTTCTATTCACATTTGAAACCTGGATAAAAAAAAAAAAGAAGAGCATGTCAGAAAAGTAATTTCTTTGTGACTTAATGTTTATTCTGACTCCATGGTCCAGTGAATGACAAATCAACTTCTCTTTCATTCATGGCAAATGTCATTAAATTTTCTTCAAAGAAATTCTAAACCATCTTTTTGACAACACATTATCTGACATTTATAGATAATGCATATCATTTGAACAATCCTAACCAAAACTGATCAGAAGTTGACACATCCCTGAAACTTTTAGTTTGTATGACTCAGAATGTTTTTATTTCCGATCATATTTTGACAATTTTCTTTGCTCATTTTAGGGAGACGATGCTGACTGTATGTACTTTGTAGAAGAGGGAGAAGTTAGTATCACAATTAAAAAAGTAAGTATAAAAAACGTATTTTTCTGAAATTTGTTTCTTTCTATTACTTTCTGCATTTAATTAAAGAAAGCAGGTTTTTTTGGTTCTCTGAACTATTTTCTCATTTGCTTTTAGGGAGATGAATCAGTTGAAGTTAAAAGATGTACTAAAGGCAGTTACTTTGGAGGTAAGTCATGACAAGAAATTAATTAAGTTCTTGACTAATGATTGAGATAGTTACATATTTCCTCTCAGTATTAAAATTCTGTAAAAACCAAAACTTCAAAAGCTTAATTTTTTAAGACGGGCACACTCCCCCTGTATTTATGCAATTGGCAAAATGTCCCTTTGGTCAGTCTTGTTCCAAACCAAAGCTCAGTTAAATATCAATTCTTCAGGAGCAATTTTCTAGCAACTGACCTTTCTTCTTTCTCCATTCCTGTTGTCAGAAAAATTGCTTTCCATTCCAAACAAAATGGAGGAACAAGAATTTCATGAAGAATTAATCACAAACAACAATTGTAATTGAATTAATTTTTTTTTATTTCAGTAAAAGTGTTATTTTACAAAAGTCTGCCAAAATATACAAAAGTGTCTTGAGGTCTGAATTTGACATCATTGTCAAAGTTCAAGACTAGGTTTAACTGCTATCTTTCTCTCCTATCTACATAATAAACTGCCTCTTATTGTAACCCTTTATCTCACCTTGAGTAGCCCCTGGACCTTTAAAAAAAAAAAAAAGTACACATTATGAATATTGTCTTAGTAACTTTTTAAACCTCTCTTCGACATGAAGAGTATAAAACAAGGCCAAACAAGAGGACAATCTCCAAATGCAGCAAATAGTATTGAGTTACAAGGTACTAGTAGCAAGGAAGCTTTCTCACATGCCAATGATACACCATAGCAAAGAAAATGGCGATTTACCTCGTCAAACGGCATGTCACATGTAACCTACAACGGAAAATGTGACAAAAAAGAAAATTACTTACCAAAAAAAAGGGGGGGCACATATTCCACATGTGACATGCTGAAGACGGAATATTTAGATTAAAAACAAGTCCGTCGCAATAAAAGTATTTTGATATGCTAAAATTGAGCGTCCTCTCCCAGCTGTTGACGAATGGAAAAAATGCTTGGCTGATAAAAGCAAAAAGAGGAAATAAAATTCGGGGGATTTGCTCTACCGCATTTGTCAGAGAGCGAGTTATTTTTCTGACTGTACATGCATTGTGATTTGTGAGATAGTACCTGCGAATCAAGTTTTTGGCATTTCTTTCTGCCCCCAATGTTCGAGTCTGAACTTACAGTGATTTATTCTCTCCGTTGTGGAAGTAATCTGTAACAAATATTTTCCTTGCAATCCCAGATTGCTTACAATTATTGATGGTACATGATGATAAATGGAGATTTGGATTCATGCCTTTCCATAGTTTGGACAATTTGATTTTCTAAATTAACCACTTTGCACTTTGACAAAGAACCAGTGTCATTGTTAGAATTCCTTTCTTTCTTAGTTTCTCCTTTTACTGAAGATAAATTAGGATAAATCTTTTTTTTTTCATTTGAAAATTGCATAAATGTTTTGTAATGCCCGTTTGTAAATTAGATACAATAATAGTAACGCCCTTGAACAATACTCCGTCAGATTCCTGCTAATTTCCATATATATTTTCCTTTACCCATCACGTGATCTAATTATTTCAAAATGAGGTCGAATGTGCTTGCTCTCTGGCGATCTGTGTCCAAAAAAAAATTTTTTTTTTCTTTTTTTTTTTTTTTTTTTTTTAACCTTACCAATCTTCCAGCTTTATTTAGCATTGTATTATATTAAGTTTTATAAATAACATCTTGACCAAAATAATCCTACAATTTTTTTCTTTTTTCTCCTTCTCTTCAGAACTTGCTTTATTGACCCACAAACCAAGAGCTGCAACTGCAACCGCGAAGGGAAAATCTAAGTTTGCAGGTAGGTCTAGCATCCAACCTGCCCAATTTCTGCAAGACGTCCACCCACACAGAAGGGCACCTAGTTTTACCTTCTCTTCTTTATGGTTTCCTTCCTAACATTCCAATTATTGAGGCATTTCAGATTAAGTTCGTTCTGATTTTACAATCTTTTGTCTTGTATTTCACTTGATGATCGGCCTTTTTCATTCTTCCTGAAAACTCTTCATCATTAAATGTTTGTCTATTGAAATTCTAATGGTTTTACTAATCTTTTTCTCAAATTGCTAAGATGTTTCAATTTTGTTGACTTGAAACTAATCAACAGGTTTCATTGCATGTTTGCAGTTGTTTTTGTTTGTTTGGTTTTTTTTTTTTTCATGTGTTTGCAGCAGTGATTTGTATTTGATTAGATTTTCTAATTGGCATATTTTATTCTGATTTCATTTACGTATTTTATTCTGATTTCATTTACAATTTGTAAGTAAGATTTTTTTTTTTTTGCCCTTTGTTCTTACCTCCTCTTTTTCTTTCTGGATGGATGGTTTCTTTTTTCTTTCTTTCTTTCTTTTTTCTTTCACTCTTTTTCTTCTGCCTTTACACATTTAATCCCAAGAAATCAGGACATTTTTTTCACTTTGTTTTTGTTTTTTACATTGACTTTCCCAAAATAAATTCTGAAATTTTAGTCAAACATTCTTTAACTTTGAGGCTTTTACATTGCAAATTTTGTTTGGTCAGTTGAAAACTTACTTTGTGGTGTTATCACATTTTAAACTGTTGCATCTTTCATTAGGTAGATAATCTATAAAAAAGGAAAACCTTTTTTTAAGTGATAAAAAAAAAATTCCTGTCTATATTCTAATGGGATCCATTTCAGTATGACAAGATTATACAGTTGAGAAACAAAACTGTCAAATCTGCTACCAATCACTCCACCAAATGATAGGAAAAAAAAACGACTATATTGTCACCTATAAATACACACCCTTTTTTTTTTTTTTTTTTTTCCAAAATGTCATGGAAAATAGGTTTACAAATGGTAAAGGGTGTCTGACTTGCTTTATGCAGAAAATGATTCCTAAATTATCTGCATCATAGTTAGTATCTGCCTACAAATATCAAGACTATAAACCTGAGCAACAAGCACCACCAAAATGAAAACAAGGTCAAGAAGAAGAAATGCAAACTGGACTTGATTAACAATCCTCAAGAATGTGTTGGATAACTGCTGAAGTGGACATCAAGACCACCAGAAGAGCCATGCTGGACCTTAAATCATACACCAAGTTGCCTGACAGAATCTTTGAAGGTCATCAAGTTGGGATGGTTGCTAATTTGCTCAGGTATCTCAAGAATCATGGGTTGAAACTGTTGAAAGATTCTGATGAGAAAATTTTCACAGTGGATGCCGTTTTGAACTGTCAAAATAACCTGCTCTTCACAGTCAAAAACTGATGTCAGATATGCAATCAAGGCTATGGTTTTGGGCGTCATGACCTCCAACAGCAAAAAGATGCCACCATTTTTTTTTCTACAAGCTTGGAGAAAAGGTGGTTGCTGATTTCTACTGCCATGTTCTGAGGTACCATGTTTTTTTACCATTGCTCGAGGCCAACTAACCTGAAGGTAAATTTGTATGGATCCAAGATGCTACTCCCAGCCACATGACCAAGAAGATGCCTAAATCATTCAAAACTAACTAAGCAAATTTCTGTCCAACAGACTCTTTTATTTTTTACTTCAGCCTCTGGTGCTGAACACACCAGACCAATTATTTCCCTCAACCTTTTTAAGCAACAGCACACCAAGGAGCAAATGAAAATATCACAGAACACATAAAATTTTTAAAGAGTACACATTTAAATGTTAGGAAATAAAACCATAGATTTTGTGCAGCTTATTTAGTGTGAAACCTGTGCCTGGTGGCTTTTTCTTTCTTTCTCTTTTTTTTTTTTCACTATTTTTTTCACTATTTTTTTCACTATTTCATGGCATACTTAAGGGTATCACACGCAGTATGGCATTTGAGAATCACTGCACTTAGCTGTGTGTACTGTGTGGGATGTTTTGGAGCAGGTCACCAAAAAGATCACCTATTTAGGAAAAGGGACTAGGTCAAAATGTGATTAAGATTTGCACAACTCTTTGAGATTGTCGAGGCTGTAATTGTAAATAATGGAAACCACATTAAATTGTTTTGATAAATCTATGAGTTTTAATAATATCCTTTTCTACTAAGAGACTTATTTTTATGCATGATGCAAGTTTTGAATACCTTAGCAATTTTGCATGTTTTCTTTCCCCATTCCCCTCTTTGTACCCAGCAATTTCAGCCTATACCCAGAGGAGTTCTGAAATCTGAAATCTAAACACAACTGATTTATGAATCAGGCTAATAAGTTGGTATACACTACAACTTTCAACTTGAAAGGTACTCTCAATTTATCTCAACCAACCACATCCCAGATATGGTAATGTGTTCTCTCTCTCTCTCTCTCTCTCTCTCTCTCTGACTCGCCATACCAAGTTTTTCTGTTTACTGTTCAGTTATAGCTTTCTTGTGTTCAAATCTGACTTTATGAGGACAGCTGCTTTCTCCCCTTATATACTTTTCTATGTTTGCATGGAGGTGGGGGGGTGATAAATGCAATGTTTTCCCTTATAAGGTAGTTACAACAACATCATTATAGTTTTAGTAAAACTATTTGTTGGTCCTTTGCCGACAATTGGTTTGAGAAAAATTGTATTCATGACGCATCTTATGCCAAGAGGGAAACTAGCTGTTTCCATAAGGACACACTCCAGGTAAGCAAGTTATAACTATAGCAAGTCTATCGAGAGACAGAGATAGGGTGCACGTTACTTTTTTTTCCTGGAATGTGTTTGCTGAGAAGTCGAGCAGGCAACTGAATTTCTCTGATTATTAGTTTGATGTGTAAAATTTGAAATAGTATGTTTCATTTCTGAAACATACTATTTTTGTTTTGTTTACCTGATGAAATAAAGGTACTTTTTTCAACTACCCCTCAGTCTTGGATAGCAACAGCAAGAGAACTAAAGTTTCCAATTGTCCAAACTAAATGTGTAGTTTTAGCATTCTACTAAATTCCTGAAGTGTGCATCCCCCCCAACACTTCTCAGGTGAAGATATTCACTCTTTTTTTTTTTTTTTTTTTTACCTTTTCCTTTTTATTAAATCGTCTTCAAATTGTTAGTCTTCTGTGAGAAATGCCAATTTCATTGATTTATTTGACAACCATTTCAATTATTGATCAATGTCAAACATTAATTTAGTGTTTAACAAAGAAACATTCCAATTACAAAATTCATGTGTGAACAAAAAGCTAATTATCAAATCTAAAGCATTTTGCCTCCTTTGGCTAAACACACTTTCAAATTCTGTTGAATGGGCTTTTTAAAAAATTTTCTATTGGCAAAAAAAACCCCTTTCATTATGCTAATTCTGTTTACTATCTTTTGATTTTCTAGTACCAAGACATTATCTCTCTTAGACTTTCAACAGATCTTGAATTTGTGGGAATAAAGAACACGTGAAAAACAACAGTGAGACATGTTATGTAGATGTGAATTAAAAAAAATGTTCTTCAATTTCATGTTTGCCTCCCATAGGCATGATGTTTGTCACAATGTTGGATGATGGACTTTAAAAAGTTGCCAAACTCTTTATTGTACATTATTTACATTATTTGGACTATTGTCCTCATCTTTGTCGCCATATTTATTACAACGTTTTAGCCGTTGTACGCTCAGGCCTTCTTCAGGTGGTTGGAATGTCGAACTGAACCCTTTATTTCGGTCACTGGGGTAGACTGTTCTAGTTCCACGTGCCATGTTTAATGGATGTCAGTTATCTCCTGTTAATTTCCCTCTGAAAGTTCTCCACTGCCTTAACCAGGTATTGAACTCACACTCTTTGAGTCCTGTCACTGGATCTAACTAACACCTTTATCCACTGTTCCATGTGTCCTTGAACTTGGAGAGGGGAATTAACAGGAGATAACTGACATCTATTAAACATGGCACGTGGAACTAGAACAGTCTACCTCAGTGAGTGAAATAAAGAGTTAAGTTCAGCATTCCAACCACCTGAAGAAGACCAGAGCGTACAACGGCCAAAACATTGTAATAAATATGGCGACAAAGATGAAGACAATAGTCCGAATAATGTACATAATACCTCATCTCGGAAATATAGACATATTCTTTTATTGTATTTTGAAATTGTTTCACCAACATTTTCCCAAAGTCTATCAAGTCATTAGAATGCTTCTTTGTTAATGATAAAATTCAAATATTGACCACAACCTGAAAATACTTTTGGGCTAAATTTCTGCAATCTGTTTTCATAAAAAGAAAAAAAAATCTTGGAAACTTCTGACAATTGGAATTTTGTTTTCATTTTCTTGAGTTCCTATATTTTCCTGCATGATGATCCCAAAGTGTCCATGATTTTGATCTGCTTTTTCCTTTGTACAACCTCCCACATACCTTGCACATTTCACTTTGAAAAGATTTGATTCTTAATGCTATCCAAATAAAACCTTTAAACATTTTCAAGGATTGAGAAAAATTAATTCAAGATTGTTTGGTTTTCATGTAGAATCCAATTCTTTAATCTGGAATCTAAGATTGGAGGATAGGAGATAAAAACACAAATGGTTTTTTCACCTTAAAGAATAACCGAGAATTTGGATTTGTTTTCTCATCCATCATATGGAATGACTTAATTTCAAATCTGAATGATTTTTTTTCCGAAACTCGCACTGCATTTATAAAATGCTGCATTCCTTTAGCAATTTTGACTTAACAAAAAACTACCAATGGCTGGTTTCATTTGTATTACTTTTTAGTACAATTTCATAAAATGTCAGAAGAATTAGAAATTAATTGGAATTATGTTTGGAATAAAATATGCAAGTATTAGTTTAAAAAGGGTTTTCTTAAATTGATAATCAAAACATTGTTGACTTTTAAAACTGTGTCTCTGCTCTACAGGAACCTGGATGCCATGTTTGGATTGAATTGAAGCAAGTTTATTAAATCATTGAAGACAAAAATACCTTTACATCCTCCTCCACAGTCTGTAAGCTTTCTGCCAGCAACAATATATTAAACTTTTTTTTTATGTTTTTAACATTACTCACACACTTTTTGTCAAATATCAAAATGTAAGTGACCAACACAGTTTACAAGAAACACCTTATCCAGTTTCAAAATATCAATATTTTGTGTGTGTGTGTGTGTGTGTTAAATGAACCTTATCAAATGTAGAGTAGTTTCTTTCGGGTTTTTTTTTTTTTTAAGTTTCTTTCTGTGACAAGTTATTTTTAGTTCTTTGACAAAACTTTTTTTTTTTTTTTTTTGCTTGTAAGCATAATTGTGCCTCTGTATAATGACAGCCAGGAAGGAACCAATGTGACCATCTTACTGATCTATGAATTAATTGATTTTTCTATTCAATTTCAGTCTTAGAAGTTGGAGCATTTGAACGTCTAATGGGTCCTTGTATGGAAATAATGAAGAGAAATATAGAGACATATGAAGAACAGCTCAAAAGACTGGACCTGGTGTAAAAATGACAAACACATTGGAAATTAAGAGAGAGAGAGAGAGAGAGACAGACAGATATACACACACACACTCGGTATTTAGGTGATAGTTCTAGTTATTTCTTTTTGTTTTTTTTTATTATCATCATTATTATTATTATTATTTTATAAATTCTTTTCTAGTATATTTAGTTAAGAAATTACTACAGTAAACTCATTTTCTCTCTAAACAAAAACTAATTGAGTCATAGCCTGTCAGAAGGTTAATTCTTTTATTTTCATTTTTCTGTTTTCAGTTTTGGAAGTTGGCGCTTTTGAACGTTTAATGGGTCCCTGTATGGAAATAATGAAACGAAACATAGAAACTTATCAAGACCAGCTCATCAACATATTTGGCTCGGAAAAGAATATCACCGACCTGCGATGAAGCGACCACCTTTTCCACTGAACTCTACATTTTTCTGTCATGTCCTTTTTGGTCACACTTCTCCTCCCCACACTGTTCCCATTTGTCTCCACTCTCTTTCTTCTAGCCCCATCTGAACCTTCAGATTTAAAGCTTATGTTACCTGGGAACCCTTTGTAATATGTATGTACATACCTTACTTTGAAGTGTCTATCTCAAATCCATGAAATCATCTACAGGAAAAAAAAAAGAAAATGTGCTTGAAATACCATCCTTGATTGTGTCTCTAAAATGACATGCATGGTTGATCCAACAATCTCCTCCTCCCTCCCCAACCTCCCACCTCTTCCATTTCCCCACCCCTTCAGGAATCAAGCATTTGAACCTTGACCAACCCTTTCCTCGCTATTGGATGAGGGCTGCAACACCAGTACTGCTGCTCTGACTGAAATTTTTAAAGAAAAATCTCCATATTTTCTGTCATGCAGATAAAAATGGTGTGCATTTCTTGTCTGCATGCACATTTTCTATCACTCCACCATGATTACTACCTTTCCTCGTTACTTCAGGGTATTTTAAATGGTGGCAAACATTCTTGTCTCTTCCAATTCTATATACACTTGGTACCATAAAATGATCTCGACTATAATTTTATGACTAGACACATCTGCTTCTTTCATAACATGGAGACAAATTTGGAGGAAGAGTTTTGCAAGTGTAGATAAAACAAAAAAAAACATTTATTGGCAGCCTCTAAAAAGAAAATGCTGAGTTCTCTCTCATTCTCTCTCTTTAATTACTCTTACCAAAAATGAAAGAAAACTTAGGTTTGAGGTCAGGGAAGCCTAAAAATATGTTAAATCTTTATTTTACCAAGGGGAGACATTTCTATAATTTAAACATGTCATCAAAATCTTGGGTAGTGAAAAACGGATGTTTAGTTGAGCAAGATTTTTTTTTAGTGTTCATCTCGAACACCGTTTTTGTTTTGTTCCCCCACCCTCCTCCACTGATGGATTTTGTCTGACTTTCAATCCCTTCATACTTTCCTCATTGGCTGTGTGAATGTCTATCAGCTTTTCTTGCCTGACAATTAGTACATCTGTGCACTCCCATGCAACACTAAGTATACTAATCTATTTACTAACCTACCAACAAGGTTTTTATATCTTGGATCACTTTTGTCTTGGCTTCTGTCCTCAGTTTTTTGGGGGTTTTTTTTTAAAAAAAAATGACAAAAATAAATTTTCTATAGCCAAGAAATAGGCGACCAATAAAGAAAAATAAAATCACTCTCTCCTCTTCCTGTTCTCCAGAGCCCAAATCGGCAATTATTTACTTCCCAATCAACTAACTCTTCCACCCCACACCTCCAATATTCTATAAATCATACAGCTAGATAAGCAAGACACTTGGTAGATAAGATTCCAATTACCGTGTGTGGAAAAGAATTAGTTTTATTTTCCGTTATTTGAAATTCTTTCACAATATGAATGGAATATTTTATCTAAATAAAAATGAATCCATCCAAATGGAACTCTTACCAAGCGAATTGTTTTTTTAAAATCAACTTTTGATGTTCTGGTGGTTTTTAATTTCTTGTTCCTGTAAGAGTTGCTTCCCTTTACAGGAGACGGCATTTATCTCCCTTGCTTATCTCTGCTGATGTCGAAACACTAAATTAACCAGTCGCTCAAGAACCGTGATTTTTTTTTTTTTTTTTTTAAATCTAGATTTCATTAAATATTTGCTTTCTTTAGTAACTTGAATATATTCGAGATTTTAAATGATTGTATCATTTCACTTTTTGCAATGTAGTTGTTTTTTGGTTTTTTTCTTTAAGCACATATCTTCAAGTATTTTTCTTCAAATTCACAGTGCACTCTGGGGAAGAAGTTTCCTTCTCTTGTAATTAATGTACATGACTGAATTGAGAATTCCTACATTTCCACCTCAGTGTGAGCAGATCTGACCAGATGTGAGTGAGAAATTTTATTTTATAATCAATAAGGCCCTCTCTTTTCCCGCACCCCCCTTCCCGGACTGACACAGTAGACTAGCTCTTAATCTGGAGTGGATTTGTTCCTCTTTCAGCCAGTATTGATGATGAGGGAGGGGTTAAAAATAAAATTAATAGGAACTGTTTGGTCTGTAAGCATTTTTTATTTCTTTCTCTCTTTCTACCCTCCCCCTCCATTAAACATGTTCATTTTTGTCAAATATCAATTCTGAAAGGTCTTTCTTAGTACCAATTGTTGTATTTGCCGTAAGAGCAATGGCCAGTTGTGTAGGAAAAGTATTTTGTTAAAATTGCCCGTGTTCCACTGCCAGTCATCCTCTCAGATTGACAGAACATGAAAACTGTGTAAATGATTTGGTTTCAAGACGACAAACTCATTTAAAGATTACCACATTCATAGAACGTAAACTTCCTAATATCTGGACAACTGAATCAAGGATACTTTTAACCAAGGCTATCATATATTCTATAAAATCTACAGACTTCCATTGGTGCAGTGCTTTAGTCAAAATAGACATGTCCTATGTTATTTATTCTTTTTCCCTCTCCAGACAATTTGTGCCAAACATTATGAGCAATAAAATGGTCTCTTTCACACATTATTGCAAAGAATCAGTTTTAGAAAAATTCCAATCCAACCCTCTCCTTAAATTTATTGCAAATTTGTATAAAAAAAATTTTTTTTTTTTTTTTTTTTTTGCTTTCATCCAGTCACATTCCAATTCCATTTGGATGAAATCAAGCAGGGCTTTTAAAAAAACACAGAAAAGTCTTGTTCTACATGAATAGCTGGAAAATTCTTCGAGTCTTGACACCTTTTGCTTAGACTCTGTTAATTTCTGTTGCTTTCCTCTCTTTCCCTACCTTTCTTTTATCGTCTGGTTTTTGTTTCGACTTGGGTTTTTTTTTGTTTTTTTTTTTTTTTATGAGATCTGTCAGCAGTTGGTGCTTTGCATTGGATATATTGTGCCTTAAAAATTGCAATGTGTGGTGTTTTTAGAGTCAAAAAAGAAATGTGAATTAATAAATGTTGCTGTCATTTTTTTTCCATTTTATGACCTGATTGCTTGTTTGTGTTTATGGCAGAATCTATTTTTCATAACGGTCACTTGTTTATGCCTATCAATCAAACATATTTAAAAAAAAAAAAAAAAAATAAATAATATATATATATATATATATATATATATATATTATACTGACTGTTGTAAATATGGCAGGTGCTGATATGTGGATCTAAAATAAAGACTTTTCAGATAAAACAATTTCCTATCTGTCCATGATTCTCTCTACAACTGCTTTTTGTTTTATTGTTTGTTAATAAAATCAGTTCAGAAATTGACACCTGCTTTGGAATGTTCATCAGATGATTTTATTTTCTTTTTCCTTTCATTTGTCTTCAGAGAAAATCCAAGTGAATCTTGAAAAGCTGATGTAAATTAATTTCCACTTCATTTGGTGATTATACTTTTAGTACATCCATACTTTTTGACACCAAGGAATGCAAATAAAAGGAGACAAAAATCTAAAATCTTTTTCATATAAATACAAATGCTCTGAAAAAGTATTTAAATACAATTCAAATACATTTTTATTTGATCTGACACAACCAACAAGCACTATGCATTGATAAAACCTGAATTAAAAGATGTAAAGACTAGAACAATTCATTTTGTTTATTTGAATTCATAAAGCCAAGAGATATGACCAGGATCAATAGTTATATGTGGATAGTGCTATTGATAAATTTTTATGTCCAAATTCTTCATTTTTCAATGCTTAATAAAGCCAGTTTGCTTAGGCATTTGTGACCCATTGTGCTTCAGAGATAGGTTTTGTCAATTTTAGTTTGTGGCATCCTGTGAACATTCTTCAGCAACAGCCAACACTATTTGTAAATTGGGAACACATCATCATATTATGAGGTTGAGAAGCTCAACTGGGCTTCTTTTTTTTTTTTTTTTTTCTTTTTTTGTATTAACATTTGGCCGTCTGTAATTTTGCTACAGCCATCCCTGCTGTTTCTTTCAATTTCTCCCATTGCATTGTTGAACTAGAGAAAAAAAATTGTACAATAAAATCAAGAACTCCAATAAATGATACAGCAAACATATGTTCTAATGCTGCATGCATTCCTCCAAGATTCAAAGAATGGTTATCACAATTCACAAAGATTGCTTTTGGGTTTCTCGGTGACATCTTCCCAGCTATTGTTGCAGCATTGTCACAACAGTCATTCAAATCAAGACCATCTCATTCCAATTTCCAGGTAGTATTGAACATAATCCCATATTCAGTATCTGTCTATATTTCTGAGATGAGGTATTATGTACATTATTCGGACTATTGTCGCCATATTTATTACGTTTCAGCCGTTGTATACTCCGGCCTTCTTCAGGTGGTTGGAATGTTGAACTGAACCCTTTATACATGTAAAAATACATGCAATGATAACAGCAAAAATTCCAATATGAGCACATGTAAAAAAAAAAAAAAAAAATTGCTGAAGACATTAGGTTTATAATACCCAGAAATTCATACACAGATGTCCTCAAGGAAACATGGCAGTTAGAACCAGTGACAGGACCCAAACTGATAACTGACATCCATTGAACATGGCACTAGAACAGTTTACCCCAGTGAGCGAAATAAAGGGTTCACTTCAACATTCCTACCACCTGAAGAAGTCCGGAGTGTACAACAGCTGAAACGTGATAAATATGGCAACAAAGATGAGGACAATAGTCCAAATAATGTATAAATAGTCCCATATTATCTACTTTTTTTGACTCTCTCTCTAGGATTGACTGACGTACTTCATTACCCAGTAGCTCAATGAAATCATTCTGTATCTTGCCTCACAAAAATGTCGCAGAATGTGAATGCAACTTGACATAATCCAAGTGACACTGCAACGAGAAGGGGGGGGTTGATCAGGTCATACTTGCTAAGTCACTTCACAAGAGCAGGAAAATTAACAAGATTATTACTTGATGCAATGACTTCTCAATGTCCACGAAATGCCAGATCTTGAATAGCCAAAAAAACTTGATCTACAGAATGCATGAGAACAGGTCCTTTCTTCCATGATTACTTCTGTATTTCTCCATCAATCGTAGACCCCCCCTTCTGATATGCGCGCCTTTCCATGCAAGAAATGATGCGTGTCAATAAGTGCCTTGTTCATATTCTGGTATTCTTTTATTAGTTTTTCTGTTTTTGAAAGCCACAAGGTTTTTTGAATATTGTACTTTGGTCAACTGGGGCTGTTGAAAGCAAAAAACAATAGACTGCATCATGTTTTTAATAGACTATAACAACCACATACATGGAATTGTAGGCCCCATTCTGTTGTTTTCTTTGATATGAGAAATTCATTTTTGTGCTCATTTCACTTCTTCAAAACATCAGCTCTCAATAACTTCTTAATCTTTTGTAACTTTAAAAGGGACATTTTTTATTTTTTTCTGAAAAGCTTTATCACCCATCTTCACCATTTGTACGTGTAGAGCATCAGAAATTTGTGGTTTATCGCAATTTACATCTAAATTTAAGCAATCTACATGTTGCTTGTTTAATACTGCATATTTACTTTTCATCCTATTCTGCATGTTCATCAGATTTGCAATGAAACGAAGATGAAGGCTGATTGGAAGCATCCAATAAAAACCCGTTTTGCTTTGCCTTCAGAATTTATCCCTAGCTTAACAGTCAAATACATATATATGTTGAAATAAAGTATTCCCCCCCCCCCATCTACTCAGCAGGAGTGTACGGGGTTTCCATAATAAACTTCAAAGCCCTTCATTAAGTTTCTCAGTGTAGTATAATCAAATATTATTGCAGCAAAGGTTACAAAAAACACTTTGCAAAGCTTTTGTCATCGCTAACAACCAAAATTGTGCCATAAAAACCTGAATCTTTTCACATCAAAACCTTGTATATCGGAATATACGACACTGACTTACAATTAGATCATATGTTCATTGAAATACTATGATCTACCAAATGAGGCAAGGAGAAAAATTATCATTTTTACAAAGAAACACTGGGTTTACCATCCCAGGAATATATCTTGAAAACTAATCGATATTAATGTTTATAATTTGTGCCTCAACTGAAGGAAGAAATAATTGAACAACACTTTTTGTTGTTTCTTTAACTTTCACATTTTGGCCGAAATGCACTTCTTCAAAGAACTACTGAGTGCTGTCAGCAAAATAATTCATGACACACACTGTTAATGAAATAATTGTGATTGCACAGCAGTCACAATTAAGATAAATAAAAAGGAGGAAAGTTTAGGTCCTCTTTCACCATTTTTAGAATTAATTTCCCCGACATGTTTGCTGATAAATATCCTAAAATTTGGCCTTATTTAGATGTGGTGAAAAATTAAGTTTGGTCAGATTGGGTCAAGTTAGGCAAGATATTGAGGTGGAACATTTTGCTTGCAATTCACTCCCAGCCCCCACAAGACACTTGCCAATCACCAAGCGACTTTGCACCCCATGATGATACTACTCTGTTCTGCCACTGACCCAACACGTGATGAATGGAGGCAAGTAACTTATACCTTTTTTAACAGATATTTCCAAACTTACTGTAATGTAGGGTCACTCGGTGAGGATTGAGATCAGTACATACAAAAGTAAATAATTTTGCTTTCTCTGAAATGTTACCAAACTAGAAACAGGACTGACTTCCAGTTTTTGGGTTTCTGAATGGAAATTTTTTTTTTTATTGGGAAGCTAAATTTTTACTAAACTTTGACTATCAATTTGCTTTCATCATGAAAGGTGAGAAAAAAAAATAAAATTAACAGTTCCAGTCCTGATAATGTAATAATGAATTTGTTTTACTAGCAATGGTTAATGAGATTAACTTTGATGCAAACAAGGAGGGGAGTAGTTGAACTTTGACATCCTAGCAACAAACTAAAACTACCCAGGATTTTCATTATGCTTCTGACTTGGTCTTTGAAACAAATTCTATTTTCATCCTTGAGTGATTGTCCCTATGCCAGACGTTCAGTAAATATTGTTAATAGTTTTGAACACAAATCATCTCAGAGGACACCCCAACCAAAACATGGCAAGTTGTATTAATTGTAATGTTGACAAGTTTACATCTAATTCTTTACTCTATAATACCACATTTAATATAAATGAAAGAATCTTCTACTTGGAATGGATAAGCAAAGGAGGGAAATTTTTATAAAAATATAAATCTCATTTGGTCAACTCAATAAAAATTTAAAAAAAGACCTGACATTGAAATCACATTGATAAATTCTTGTAAAATAACAAGTCACTAATTTATACAATACATAATGAAAATCATCTTGTCTTTTAGAAAAGTTAGTAAAGACAACAAACAGCCAAGTGCTTAGAAGTTTCTCATTTATTTTTAAACAGATTTTCTACAGGCTTGTGATTTGGTTAATGGAGCAAAGTTTTTATATTTCCCCCCCTGCATTGATTTCTTTCTTTGTCCCAATTTAGCTGTGAAATTTGTTCTTTAGAATCTGTTTTCAATCACATTGTATATCCCACCTTTAAAAATTTCAATAGTTAAAAAAAAAAAAAAAAAAATGAAAGATTCACTGAACCATAAAAATGCACATTAAACGGGGGGGGGGGCAGTTTAATTAACTTGCCAATAAAATTGTTTAATTATTCTAGTATTTTCATTCCCAAAGGTTACCTACTATGACAGTTACCTCCACGAAGTATACAGCCGAGATGAGGATACCAATCTGAGTAACTCTGTAGAACAAAAGGTTTTGTTTAATTTTCCTATAACATTTTGTTTCAAACCCAAATTTATATTTCAAATACTGAGAATTTGAAGTCAAAAGAAATAAAAAAAGGTTTATCAGAAAGAACAAAATCAAAAATACTGCAAAATAAGTTTTTATTTTCTGGCAGGATTTTCAGCATATCCAGACTCACCTAATGAGTCGAGCACAAATCAAGGGCCCTGGCAGACGATTGTAAAAAGAGACCCTTTAATAAATTGTGGAGAAAAACAAATCTAGAAAGAACATTCTTGGCAGTAAACAATTTTTAGATTACGTCTTGGATTCAGATTTTGGTTTAATAAAAAAATATATATATATTTCTTCTTTTCACGGTTTCTGACAGAAATCTATAATAATTTCTCACCACCATATAACGTGTAAGATCTTGTATCACATTTATTTTTATGGTTTCATACAACAGAAAAAAAAAAATATTTAGCCTCTCTCTTAAGGCAAAGGTTATAAATTAATCTAAGGGGAGGGGGAAAATAAAACAAGTAGATATAAACTTTACTCAATGGCAGATTAGAAAGTAGTTTAACGACATTGTTCCAGCCAACACTCAATCTCAGTAAATAATTAAAATGAAGAGAATTACTAAATCCAAAATTAATAATGCCGCTCCTATTTTTTTTCAAAAGGACATTACTGAACTTGTCTTGCAAATGGCATGTTTCCAATTTGAAATTAAACTGTGTGTCTGCATGCATCTGTATTTTCTCAACCACAATGAAAATTCCTATAATTGACAAAAATACTTGTTGCTTCTGATAGTAGAGTAAATATCTTTTTTTTTTTCTTTTTGAATGGGGGGAGGGGACTTCTTGACAAATTACCAAAAGAGAGATGGTTCATTGGGGGAGGGTGACAATGTTTGAATTACCAAAATATCAAGATCCTTAAAGCAAGAGTTTAATATCTGTACAAAAAAAAAAAAGAAAATATTTCAGGTGAAAATTTCCCTAAATTTGTTAACATTAATTCTCTTTCATCTCAAAAACCCAAAATTCCATAAACTCCAGTATAAATTTTATATTTTTCATAATTCTGTAGACAAACAATCCGAGAGGATTCATATTTTCTAAATGTCATGGATACATTAATATAAAAACATTAACAAAAATAGTTTTTCCTTCTTATTTACAATATCATTATTAGACATCTTGCACCATGAAAGTGTCTGGTATCTAAAGTGTAACCAAATCAAATGACAAAGTCAAAGAAGAAACAAGTGAACTTTTCAGTGCTAAATAATTGAAAACATTTTAAAGTTTAATTGTAATTCTATCCAAATTAAAAACTTTCAGATAAAACGGATTTTTGTTTTGTTTTTTAAAGCAAACCGTTTATATTAAAAAAAAAAAAAAAAAAAGCTATTCCAAAAATACATTTTTAAATTGAATTCTTGAATTGACAAAAATATGATTTTCTAAAAGATTCTTCAAAACTAAATGCAATAATTCCATGAATATGTGAAGTTAATACATTCCAGATATTAAAAATCTGTCACAGAAGTGTAAACATGTCCAACGGTTCTGACTAGTATCATTATCTTTGTTGTTCCCATCCTCAACTAAAAGAAAATAACCGAAACAAAAGGTGAGGATACTAGTTCAAATATCACCTCAAACATCAACATTGTTTCATTCAAGACAACACTGAGTGTACACTTTACAAATGAGGAAACCCTTGACAGTAACCAGTGAATTGGGCTGCCTTCTGAATACAAAATAATAATAATAATAATTTAGATATCACATTGCTGATGGCTTTTGTCCAGTGACAGTTCCCAATCCTTAAGATGAGCCACTGATGACCTTGTGACCTTCAAATGCTTGGTGGGTTTGGAAAGCTGAAAGAAAACCAAAGGCAAATCCAATTGAATAGAATAAAAAATTGATCCAAGAGACATGGAGAAAAAGAGAAAAGATTTTTGGTAGATTCTGAAAAATTATTTGGGCAAATGGCTTCTTTTTTTTTTTTTTCTTTGCAAGATTCCATTGAATGTTGCCACACCCCTTCCAACACCAGATTTTTTTTTTTTGCAACTTATTGTTTATCAATCTCAACGTTGTCATTTTAAAAAGTTTATCAAAAACTTTAGGTTACAGAAAGAAAAAATATTATCGTGTCAGACAAATTTTTGTTGTTTGTCTTGAGGGGTGGGGGAAGGTCGTGGGGGATTAGAAAAATTAAAGAGGAGTTCAACTGATATGCAAATTTGAAAATAGCTGAGCCAAGATGGTATCAAAACAACAAAGGTGATGATACTCGTTTGAATTGGGGAGAATCCCATTCTTTATTAAAAGGGCCAAGTTGTCTTGCATATCTCATCTAGAACTGGAGACCTATTTTAAACTTCCTCATTCCATTGCGATGCAAAGATTTTTACATTCAGTCTCGGTTTGTGGTAGTTTACTGCTGGAGTTGACTTTAAAAATCTTTGCTTTTTACACTTGGAATAACTTTATTTTATTTCCTTCGGACTTGCAATATTATTTTATGTTTTCATTGTAAAAAAAAAAAAAAAAAAACTTTTTCTACTAAATTACCTCAAAAATATAATTTAGGAAATTTGGTTTTGTCAGCTGAAAATTAACTAACATTTTTCACTTAAAATTAATTTAATATTCTTTTCTGAAACTTATTTATAAAAGCAAATAATTTAATTTATTTTTTTGTATAAACCATATTTTTTGTTTCTCATAAATGAAAAAAAAAGATGTTAAATTTTTACTTTTGCTTTTTATACTGAAATATAACAATTTATTTGATTTAAAGAAAATTGATTATTACTATTTTTTAAATTTTATCAGATATTTTTGCATCTTGTATATAAGATGTAGAAAACGTTAAACCCTAAGCTTGCTGCTAATCCCTGCCTTTTTAAAAAGTACATTTTTCTACTTCTGTAATCAAAAAGAAAATTATGACAAAATAAATCAATAGTTACTTGATTTCTAAACAATAAAATAAATAAAAGTCACTTTCATTTTGTTTTGTGTCAGAATTCATCATCCTGATTAGAATTTTTGCATCATTAAAATTGTTTTAACATGGCTACTAAGATTTAAATTTATATAACATTTTGTACACCATCATTAATGAGTTCAGAAGTTATGAATCCAAAGGTCTGACAAATTAGATATTAGATGGAACCAGACCTTATATATATTATATATATATATATATATATATATATATATATATATATATATATATATACACACACAAGAAGAAGAGAAGTTTTTTGATCCAAATTATTTTCTTAAGTGGACAACAGCAGTGAACTTCCACTTCTGCAAAAACAAAACAAAATTGAAAAATCTTTGATTTCATAGAGGAACGACAAAATTTGCGATAGACTTTCAGTTTTCGGCAAAAGATGCACAATGACTTGGCAATTTGTAAAGAATGCCATGATCAGCTCCCAAATGACAGCAACATAAGAAAAAATGTTTTTACTTGGAAATACCACTTACTTTTGTAGTGGACAGACGTAAAATTGACTTCTGGTAATAGAGACTTCACTTTCTCAACCAGACTGGACTTTTCTTCAAGGTCAGAACGAACATTCCAAACCTGGAAAACATCTTCTTTGTTTCGGATACTGCAACTCAAACCACCAATTTCATCACCTGAAAATATAAGTCAATCAGTCAGTCAAGTGACTGGCTACTTGTATCCAAGTCTGCTAGGGCGGCTAGTTAATCCCTATTGCAGTCGCCTGCACATATACATTTGTATTGGTTCTATCCCCACAGTCCCCCCCCCATACCTGTGGTTTATACTGGAAATATACTGAGTGAACCTTAGTTACAGTTTCTGCAAAAGAAGCACACGTTATCTCTCATGATGAACAGTCTGAACAATGCTACTACACCATCAACAGATCTCAATTTGTTTTAAACATGCAAATGTTTGTTTTAATGATTTTCATTACAAATTTGGCAAGTATTGCTGAAAACATTCTTTACAAAATTGGAAAATATTTTGTTTTTTTAAAAAATAAATTTGTATACTAACATCTTTTAAAATTAAAATCCACAAGTTTTTTTTATATATTTTTTTTATAATATCTGAATAACTGAAATTAAGTAAAGCAGATTTTTTGTTTTTGTTTCTTAAATGCCATCTCATCCCTTGAAGACGTTTAAGATCATGGTACTCCAGATCCCTTTTCCTTTATTATCTGTGAATTACCAGAAAAGAAGTGGTTTCCCCATTACCTTCTCTACAGTTTGAATTCTGAGTTTTCCTTCTCTTAGACTGGTTGCCAGCTAATACTAGAGTGTAAAGTCGACCCTGCTATTTAATCCATAGCTTGGGGGGATAAAAGGGCCATTCTGATGGGCATCAATGTGAAAGTAAATTCAACAGAGCTGGCTGGAATTCGAATTCAGGTCAGCAATTCCACTTTGCAAACCCTAACCCAGCATAGTATCTGCACATGCCACAGATTCTGGAGACTCCATTTTGAAACGTTCTAAGTTGCTGCAAACTGGTCAATATTTTCAGCTTAAAAAAAGTTTTAAGAAACTCAGTTCCAAACTCTGACGAGTACAATAACAGGGACATGGTAAATGGACCTAAATCTTTTACACTTCAGAAAAAAAAAAACGTACATAAATAGACTTTTTTTTTTTTTTAAAAAAAAAAAGATTAGAATAACAAATATACCATTGGAGACTTTAAAAAAATTCATTTCCTTTGTTCATCAAAACATGAAAGTGTTACAAAATGATATACACTGAGTCAGCTGTTCGGAGTTAATGTTTAATAGCTAGCAAAGGTTATCAAAATTTTAAACTAAATGTTTTCACTGTTTTATATGTGGTCAGGGTTGCCTCGAATATTGTCATTTAAAGTAAATATGAATAATTTAAGTTATCCTGTGACTTTTTGTTTTTGTTTTTTTCATTTCATTCCAAGGAAGTTGATCAAGCCACTAAGGCACAAGGGAGTTACTAAGTGTATGAGAATACAAGGAAAAAAATACTTAGGGAGAAAGAACAATAAAAGAGGAGGAATCAAGAAGAAAGTAGATAACATTTGACATTGCATTTAAATTTTTGAAGATCATTTCTTGCCCTAGCCCACAACAGATTGTAGGCCATTGAGATCAGCTGTCAATTTGTTGTTATCAAACCAATTACCTTTAAGACTGGAGTAAATAGTTGTGCTGTCATCAACATCAGCATAGATACTGAGATGAGAATTGATGACATTGGGAAGGGTTGGTAGGTTATCAAGATACTGAACCCTTCATGACTGGATTCTTAGTATTTTACCAAGAACCTCTAAATCCACACCAGAAGCATCAGACCAGATATGGCAGCAATATTAAATACATGAACAAATGGTAAACTTATAAAGGTGTTAGTTAGATCCAGTGACAGGACCCAAAGAGTGTGAGTTCAATACCCGGTTAAGGCGGTAGAGAACTTTGAGAGGCGAATTAACAGGAGATAACTGACATCCATTAAACATGGCACGTGGAACTAGAACAGTCTACACCAGTGAGCGAAGTAAACGGTTCGGTTCGATATTCTAACCACCTGAAGAAGGTCGAAACCTGATAAACATGGCGACAAAGATGAGGACAATAGTCCAAATAATGTAAATAGTGTACATAATACCTCATCTCAGAAATATAGACATTCAGTTTGACATTCCAACCACCTGAAGAAGGCCGGAGCATACAATGGCCGAAACATAATAAACATGGCGACAAAGAGGAGTACAATATTCCAAATAATGTAAATAGTGTAGATTGAAAGTAATTTTCAAGATCAGCTGCCAATTTGACCTTATCAAACTTGCTATTAACACAGGAGTAAATTGATAGAGTTGAGAATTGATGACATTGGGAAGGGTTAATAGATTATCAGAATACTATACTGGGCCCTTCATGACTGGGCACTGGGCCCATTTCATGTGATGGATTGTATAGTAAGTTCCATGGTATTAATACCAAGATATACGATGTGACCTTTTGGGAAAAGGGATATTCCTTCCTCAGGGTTCAAGTGTAAACCAAAACAACTTCAATAGGAATTTGAATTTGCCAAATATATATTTATTATTATTCATTCAGTTTGTGCATGAAGCTGGCCATTAAAAATCCATCTCGCATCTCTGTAGGAAGAGATGTATAAATGATCATTCGAAAGATTCAGTATATTGTTAAAGGGAGATAACTCATTATGACGACTTTTCCGCTCCTGACGTGAAACTGCATATACAGGCTTGTCCACCAGAAAATTACTGAATGATTAAATCTCAATAACCAATAGAAATTTCATGGTGTTTACCAAATATAAGATTTATATAATTGTTACAGTAATTTTCGAGCCATTCATTTTCTGTACTGTGTACAATGTAAGTACCGCCATTAATTTGCTGAAAAAACAGCATAGTGTGATGAAAAAGGCAACAAATGTAATAAAAACAAGTTTTATTGTCAAAATGTTAATGTTATTATTAAGAGTAAAGAACAAAGAATTTTTTATTATTTTATTAAATTTTTTTTTTAATCCTTTCTCGCACAAAATTTTGATTCAAGATCTTTTGCACTTGGATCAAAGATTACTATGGGAGTTTTAGCACATTATCTCTGTTAAAATAACACATTGAATTGGAAATTTTTGCAAAAATCAAATAATTTTCAGATTTTAATGAAACTTTCAGGACTTATTTACAAATGAATGGAATTATTTTTTAAATTTTTTTTTCTGTTATCCACCTCCCACTTATAATGAAGTGTCAAAATTTTTGAGACTGCTACCGAATAACAAGCATGTAGCAACATTTAAATAACAGCAGCTACACATCATGAAGTTTTCATGTGGCTATATATAGTTAGCAATATCTGCAACATGTTCTGTACATGCCCAATGGAGCTTAAATCTGGTGGGCATTGGGGTGGGAGGGATCAATGCTTTACTAAGAAGTTGGTCAAGTGTTCCAGGAAACAACAGTTTCATGCCACTCATGATAATAATAATAATGGATGGTATTTTATCTTGCAGGAACAAATTATCACTACCAGGAAACCTGGAAATAATAAATGATTGCAAATTGTCTGCAACAAGATTTTTGTACGTCACATCAATCAAGAATGATTAAGGATTTTCCTTTTTTTTCTCCCTACCCACTTCTTCAAAATAATTTTTATTTTTTAATGTAGAAAGGTCTGTCTCTCCGATCAATTTCAAAAAATGAGGAAAATCCCAAATTGAGAAAAGGAACAATATTAGTCATATGCAGTTATCAATAATGCCAGAACAGTTTCAAACTTGACATTTGCAAATAAAAACAAAGTACAGATAACTCTAAAATGTCAAGGATTTATTTTGACACTGAATAGAATTCTGCTCTTCAAAAATGATTAGGAAAAAAAAAAAAAAAATTTTTTTTATTTTTATTCTGACAAACATCATGGCTTGGAAGGAAAGATTGAATGAAATGCTAATCTCTTCCACATATGAATTCAACCACTTTTGTTATCAGAGTTGAAATATGGATATTCTGATCACTTGGCAACATGCCTATATCAATAAAGTTTATAGAGAAACACAATAGACAGGCGGTTGAATAGAGTAATCTCCCCATGATACTATTATAATCCCATGTTTATAATATTCTGATCCGATCTTTCATTCATTCCTCTGTGTATATGTCATTTCCTTCCAATGTCTAAACATACATGTTTTAAGAAAATTTTTACTCAGCTTAAAAAGCCTTAAAACAGCAACATTGCAAATAAGCTCAGTTTGGACAACAGATAAGTCGTCAGGTGTTGATAAGAACTGGTTACAAAAGGTATTTGATATGTCGGCAATATTTGTTCATTGGAAATAAGCATAATTGAATGTCTTGGGGTCAAAGACATAAAATTTACTGAAATTGATTGAAACAAAATTAATAAAAGGGAAACCACAAGATCTGTCATATTCTGATGACATTAAATGTTAGAACAAACGCTGAAATATTGTATGAATTATGGACATTTTTTTCTAAAAAATTGGGGTGATAATTCACACACTGAAATTTTTGTTTTGTATTCCTTCATTTGTTGACACAAATTATTGAGTTTGAAAACTTCAAACAAGTCAAAAAATAACAATAAAAAAAATAGATGCGTAAACAATTCCAATACAATTATATTATAGTTCTTGTAATTTTAAAATCACAAAATATTATGGTAATTTGTGCAGGTGTGACATTGACATTTTAATGGCTAATGTGTTACAACTTTTCAAAACAAAATCTTTACATAGGGACGACTGTACTACGGGGGGGGGGAGTCATTCCCTGTTTTTAGCTTCAGAAAGACAAGGTCGGATCATAATCAAGTCATATCGGACAAAAGACAATACAGAAAACTTTCCATAAAAAAATTTCCATTTTAATTTCTTTTTATCATAAAATTATATTTAAAAGAACAAATCAGTTTTTAAAAAAATGATATTCTCAGATGGAAGCTTTCTTTTGGGCGTGGTGGGGTTGGCATCCATGTTTCAGAGATCAAAATGCAATCTGATTTCCTCTTGTAAGTTTAGAACAAAAGGTGATCTCAAACAATCGAAATCTAAAAGTAATATATGAAGTGTATTAGAAATTTAAAACATACATTGTACTCGGTCAATTTATCAAGATGACTTCCTGATAACTATAGGCCTGTACAGATCATTCTAAAATAGAAAATTGTTGGAAAACACCTGCCAAACACCAGGCTCCACGAGCTGACCCCCACTCTCGGCCCCGTCTTAGAAATTTAGAAAAATTATCAAAATATGCGAGCCAATATATTTACCATTTTAGAAATAAATAACAAGGTAAACAGTTTTTTTTATTCAATGAAATTTATAAAAAACTGTGTGAACCATAAAACAAAAAATTTAAACAAACATTATTCTTTCAGGTATTAAACATTTTTTTCAAATTATCTTATATCTCAGCTTCTGGATTTAATTTTCCAATTTTTTTTTTTTTTTTTTTTAAATCGTGATTTAGAATCAAAAATGACTAAGAAATAGAGATCCAGGACTTGAAACTGTCAATTATAGGTTATCCCCCATATCCAATTATAGGTTATCCCCTATATCCAATTATAGGTTATCCCCCTATATCCAATTATAGGTTATCCCCCACCACCACACTTCCTACACTTTTGGAAAAAAATCTTTTAAAATCATTGAATTTTAATTCAAAATGCACAGAAAATCTGCCAATTGATTATTTGTTATCAGCCAAGTGCTGACTGATGAAGACATTTTAAATGAAGATTGGAGACTAAACACCTTGACTAAAATAATTAGTCAAAGCTAGTAAGTTGTATCTTTTGGAATGATTGGTAGAACATTGGCATATTGCCAATCGATTCCAACATTATAAAATGGTAAATAAAGATTTCATTATAATTGGTTCACATATTTTTTTAATTTCGTAACAGACAATCAGGTTAGCCCAATAAAAGTTGGTTGTATATGGTGCTGTAAGCAGCAGGAGTTAAAAAAAAATTTTTCCTTAAGCCGTCGAGAGAAGACCGTGTACTTAGAGAGATGGGCGCTTATGGACATTATATGTTTTGATTTTATTAAATTTCTAAACATCACTTTTTGAAGCCATAAACATTGCCAAGGGAGTGAAAGGAACATGCACTCATAGCAGTATCAAGGGAAAAACCGTCATTTTAACACACCAATGTCTTTTTTGTGGGTATGAAGGTTAAAATTTGCCAAAATTCCCTTTATTCACTAGCAAACAATTTTGTCAGACATATTGTCTTTGAAAAGAGACATCACTCACCTTCTGCCATACAATCAACCAACTGTTCACCAATGACAGCTAAAAGCAATTCCTTCCACACGAAAGCCTAACAGAAAGAAAAAAAAAGTTAAAATAATTAAATGGAAGAAAAATTTCTGAGATGAGGTATTATGTACACTATTTAAAGTATTCGGACTATTGTCCTCATCTTTGTCGCCATATTTATTACAACGTTTAAAATAATTGTAAAAAATCCTTCTTCAGGTGGTTTTTTTGTTAACTCAACCCTTTATTTCACTCACTGGGGTTATTCTAGTTTCAATTTAAATGTTTTAATGGATGTCCAGTTATCTTCTGTTTTCCCCTCTCCAAGTTGTCAATGCCTTAACAAACCTATTGAACTCACACTCTTGAAACATACAGTGGATAAAGGCGTTAGGTAGATCCAGTGACAGGACCCAAAGAGTATGAGTTCAATTCCCGCTTAAGGCAGTGGAGTAACTTTTTTTGGAAAATTAAAAGGAATTAACTGACAACTGACATCCATTAAACATGGCATTTTCTAGAACAGTTCTACCCCAGTATTTTCAACCAAAGATTAAAGTACCGGAGCATACAACAATTTGTTTTGTGGGTAAATATCATTCAGACAAAAGATAGGGAAAATAATCCGAATAATGTAAATAGTATTGAGCATTTATTCCAATTTTAAAAAAAAGGAAATATTTTTCAAAGAGAAGGTCGTCTCATGCACGAATTCTTTTTGCCTGTAATTTTATTATTTTCTGCATAATTTCTGCAGATGTTCAGCATTTTATACAGCAATTGATTTTGCAAAAATAAAAACTTAATTTCAATTACAAAAATGTCTTTACACACAATTGTTGTTGCCTCTTGTTCAATGTAATCATTTTGGTTTCAATTTTGAGAGGGCTTCAAGAGAATGAAGCCTGTAGGTCTTAGCAAAGACCAACCTTCTTCAAATCTCGTGGGGTCTGGTGCTACAAGGAAAGAACTTTAACAGAAACCACATCACTTGACGACTAGCAACAGCTAAAACGGAATAGCACATGTAACTCAAAAGAGAAAATAACAACATAATCAAGATGTCAACATTCAACACTACTTCAAATAGAAGGGTTGGAAGGAAGCCCCCATCACTAATGGAAGGAATGATAGCCGTTAAGAAAAGGGATTCCACTAAGAAAGAGAATGATTTTAGAAATTTCAACTCATAACCGTAGTCCTGGCTGCTCGGTCAATGAATGTTTTCTTATAAAGGAAAACGGAAAATATCACGTTTCCATTACTTACAGTGTCTGTTTTCTGGCACTTAAAACTCCAGTTACCTCCCTTGCAATTGAATTCATCTTCCCTGGAAAAAAAAAAAGAAATGGATTTGATTTTAACCAAACAAAATTATTTAACAACAACACACACACACACACAACCAAGCATCACATCACAATTTAAGACCCTAATACCGTGATGTTGGGCAAATCACCTGTGTTGTGATTTTTAAATGATTCCGTTTCTAGAGACCTTCTCTTTTTTTTTATTTTTATTCACAGGGTTTGTTTTACATTTTGCAGGGAGCTTTGGAATATTAAAGTTGCTTTGTAAAAATATACAAATAACACAATACTCACAAAAGCACATAGACGCTAAAAAAAAAAAAAAAGACCAAAACACAACAACAACAACAAAAAAAAAGACCAAAACACAACAACAACAACAAAAAAAAAAAAAAAAAACAAGACTGGAAGCAAAACACAACAAAAAAAAGACAAAAAAACAAAAAAAAAACACAACAAAAAAAAACCAAAAACACAACAACAACAAAAAAAAAGACCAAAACACAAAAAAAAAAAAAAAAAAACCAAAACAAAAAAAAAAACACCAAAACACAAAAAAAAAAGACCAAAACACAAAAAAAAAAAAAAATTTTAAAACACAAAAAAAAAAAAGATGTGAAACACAAAAAAAAAAAAAAACAAAAAAAAATAATTTTATCATCTAAATGTTTGTTATTTTTAAAGAGGAAAGATCAAAGTATTTTGGGGTATTTTTTTCCATTTTTTAATCATTCCTAGCACGTCCGAAAATTTTGTTAAAAATCTAGTTTTTTTGAGTCAGCAAAATTGACCATTTTTTTCCATTTTAAAAAAAACTGGAAATCTGACTTTGAAATTTTTTAAATATCAATTATCATTTTTTCAAAACTTATTTTAAGAAAATCAGAAATTATAATGTTTATTTAAAATATTTTGAACCAAACTTAACTTAGCTTTTGTGCCAAAAAGATGTAATTTGAAAATAAAACAAAGCAGGTCATAAACTTTTCGTGTCCCTTGACATGTGATGAATGATATATTTACGAATTCCATGAGGCTAATTTGTTCTACGGAAGGAGAAAAGTGAAATAATTTACATTTACGTGAACAAATTATTTACCCCGTTATTTTTAAGGAAAACTTTCAGCAGTCTAATTTTTTTTTTTTTTTTTTTTTTGTACTTGGTTTTCACCTTTACGTTTATGATGCTTTATGGGAAATATATTGTAAAGAAATTAAAATAAAACTGTTAAGAGTGACATTAAATTTCATATTTCTTAAGAAAGATATCTAATTAATTTATAGGTACCTTTCTTATGAAATTTTATCAGAATTGTACATAAAATACTATAATTTTATGTACATTTATTACATTTTACTGTTATTTGTATTTGCATTCATTTTATTATTAATTTTGATATTTCATTTATGGAAAAATGTCATAACTGAGATTAATATAAAAATAAGATCATATAAATTTCATAAGATGATACTGATACTTGTAGGTACCCTTCTCAGTTGAAATTGAAAAATCAAATTAACTTCCACACGTGTTTCAAAAAAGTAAAGGCCTTAACAGCGGAGAACAATGCTTAACTCAAATAACGCAACTTAATTATATTCTGGTTGGTCTTCCGTATTTTATAATTACAGCTCGATTATAAGCACAAAATTACATTTCTTAATTACTGGGGATCTTCTGATTAGTCAAAATGATACAATTTACAACACGCTAAAAAAAAGATCTATCTCATAAGGACACTTATGAAAGCCGATGCACTTTTAACTAATTTTATAATATTTTAACAACTTAAATGTAAAATCTATTATAATTAATGAAATAACAAATAATTGTATTAAAAATTCATTTTTCATCGAAAAAAAATTTTTTGCTTTCAAAAAATATTGTCCATATTCATAAAAACAACTAAAAGCAAATAAAAGCATTTGAAATTAAATAATATCTTTGTTTTATTGAGTTTTGTATGTTACAATTCAGAGCTGATTTTCAGGTACTGCATATCCAATTAAAAACAAAAAAAAAAAACATGATTTGCATTCCTCAAAGCCCTGTGCTTTTAATTATTGTAATCACTAAAACCGATGCGATCAATTTCTAGCGTTTTCATAAAATTAGTTATGGGGGGTAATAAATATTTTTAAAAAAATTTTCTACCATGACTTTCATAAAAAAAAAATTTATAATAATTTTTGATCATCTGTGAATAGTTCCTGAAAGTTTCATTAACATCTGATAATTATTTCTATTTTTGCAAGATTTTTTCAAATTAATGTGTGTCATACCAAAAAAACGTGCTAAAATTGTCTGTTATTTACTAGTTCCGCTGATACAAATAGAAAAAAGGTTTTTTTTAATCAAAATTTAGAATGTTCTAAAAAGAAGGAAAATTTTTAAAATTAATTAAAAAAAAAAAACTTTGGTCTTTCCTCTTAATAATAACATAAGCATTTAGACAATAAAATTTAGTTTTTTTCAAGGTTGGCGTCTTTTTTCCTCAAGCTATGCTCTTTTTTAGCGATTTCGTGGAGGTACCTAAATTAATGCATTCTGAAAAATCAGATTAGAAATATGCACTTCATGAGATTCTTTTTTTATTGCTAATTTTCAAGTCATATTTCTGCTTCTGAAGAAAATTGAAAAATAAGAAAAACTTACTTTTTTTATTTAAGTAGCATGGATATTTTTTTTTTTTTTTTTTTTTTTTTGTATATAAATTTCTTTGAATGCCTTTTCAACACTCATTTATAGATTTTTTATTTTTTAACCTAGAGTGATTGCAAATTATATATATTGCTGCAATGCTATAAAAGTATAGCATTGCAGCAATATAAAATTAAATTTGCTGAGAGTAAAGATTTTCTGTTGTGTTGCTTTGTAGGTATTAGAAAATAGGACAAAAGCCAGTCGTCAGGAAAATGGAGCAAATTGATGCTTTGGAAGAATTGAAAGATTTGAACATGAGACATGCCACTGTGGATCATGAAACAATGCTCAAGCGACATGCAGCTCAGGAAGAAATTCTAATGAAACTGCAAAGATGAAGAAGATGAAAAAGTTGATAGAGTAAGCACATTTATTTAAAAAAAACCATTTTTTTTTTTTTTTTTTTTGTCAAGTAAATTTAATAATTGTCTTAAATGGTCACCAACCCTATAATTCAATTTATAGTAACTGGAAGGTAACTTGACACTGGAATTTGCACATATACTAAGAGCTCTATGCTTAATGTTAAATCTAATCTCACATTATGCACCAACAATTCAGCAAATACTATTTCTATATTTCTTTAAGTAACTTTAAATTCTCAACTAATCATTATTATACATGCACACACACACACACACACACATATATATATATATATATATATATATATATATATATATATAATAGTCACATAAATGAGCATTGATGTGTAATTGTTGAAAGCCTTGTTTTCAAACTGCCATATAGGAAGAAAATGAGTAACTACCGACACCAAGGTCTGAGCATGACACTCTGGACTTGTATGTTTTTTCGCCAGGTGTATAAATAGCTGTGTCAGGCTATTGAGTGATTATTGAGTGACTACTGATTGGAAGTATCCAGCCAAATTAGTGTGAATTATTGTGCATTGATGATTTTGATTTAGGATTTACTGGGCATTAAGCCAAACTGTGCTACTAACAAAATATTCACTTAAATGGTTAATTATTTTTGTTGGCTTTTACTATTCCGAATGGGTGTCACCAACAGTTTACACAAAGGAAAAAAAGATAAATAATCCATGTATTTGCTGATTTTTCAACAGGATTAAATGAAATTTTGAAAGAGTGTAACTACCTGTTACCAAGTTTGGAGGAAATTTTGCTAAATTAAATGGTGGTAAGTTTTTTATAAATTGGATCTTTTGGATACTTACCTACAAGTAGATGAAGGAGGTTCTAACCTCTTAAGAATTAACACTCATAAAGGACTACAAATTTAACAGACTTCCTTTTGGTATAAATGTAGCACCAAGCATATTCCAACAGATAATGGATACCATACTTGCCGGTTTGGATTGTGCACAAGCGTATTTGGATGATGTAATTATAAAAAGTGTAAGATGTGAAAAAAATTTTTGAAAGAATTAAAGACTACGGTTTTAACATCAGTAAAGAAAAGTGTGAACTATTTATGAATAGAGTGAAATACCTAGGATAAATTATCGACACGAAATGAAAGACAACCAGATCCTTCAAGGGCAAGCACAATAAGGGACATGCCCACCTCAACAAATGTATCAAAGTTACAAGGATTTTTAGGGTTAGCTAATTACTATCATGCATACATACCAAACATGCATAAATTAACAGCACACTTGAATAACTTTTTAACGAAAGATGTTAAATGGGATTGGTCAGATAAATGTCAAAGTGCTTTTGAAGAGATTAAAAAAGTCCTAATGTTGACCCTAAATTAAAGCTTGTGGTTGCAGCAGATGCAAGTGAGTCGGGTATTGAACGGTGATACTACACAAATATGAGGACGGAAAAACTAAACCAATATCTCATGTTTCAAGATCATTAATAGCAGCTGAAAAAAACCCACAACCAGATTGAAAAGGAAGTATTGGCTATCATATTTGGTAAAAAAAAAAAAATTTTTCACAAGTTTATTCATGGTAGGCAACTGACACTAAAGACAGATCATCATTCATTGTTGTCCAATTATGGATCAAAAAAGGGTGTTCCCACACACAGCAAATAGACTGCAGCCCTGGGGCACTATCTTATTAAACTACAATTATAAAATGAAGTTTTCTACCATTCAAAAAAAATAAGAATGGCAATGGAACATTTGAATATTGAACCCAAACTGAAGCGATATAGACACCAGAGATATCATCACGAAAAGGGTAGGTGTCATATACAAAAAAATGATTAACTACTGACACTGAGGTTCAAGTGTAACACTCTGAACTTATGAATATATTTTCCACCTAGTGTATAAATGGCAGTATCAGGCTACTGACTGCAGGGATTATTGAGTGAAACT